ACGAAGGCACGTGTGTTAGCATTCTAGGCAGGGATGCAAATGAGCTACACGATATACACACGAATCCAATTATTGTTGAGGGTAACGAAACAAATTTGTCTCATTTATGGGACCCTTTTTAAGGATTCCTGTCTACTGTCTCTTATGATGTTGCATTAATGGAGGTAAAATATTCAGATTTACAAATTTTAATATCCCGCCTGGTCCGAATTAAACACTCGATTGATAGAACACGTTCTACAATCATCTAGGTAATATTTAGTTTATTTAAAGTTTTAGTTATGTTTAAAAGTTAACTTCCAACACAAAAAGAGGGTATACCAATTAGATAAGGCTCTTTATGCGGGGTAGTTTCAAATTATGCCATGAAATTTGAAACGTTGACTGTCTTTGTGACTTCGTAATTTCCAAACGTATAAACCAACTTCACTAAGCTATGACGCTCTTCTTTAAATACCCCACTAGCTTTTACCTGTGACTTCGTGTATATTTATTGAACGACATAAAAAGTAGGCTATATCTTAAGTAGGCTCCATCTTGTATTAATTGAAAATGCTATAAGTTACAAACAAACAAAACAATTCACTGTCACATTTCTAATATTAATAAGGATGACTGTACTTGTGGGGTTCTTTAAAAAGGGGTAAAAATGTTCCCTCAGGGTCGGCAACGCCCCTGGTAATTCTTGATGAATTCATCATGTTAGACTAATCGGCCTGTTTTCATTCTCGTCTATCACCCTTCACTGGTGCTCCGCCAGCGTATCCCGTTAGCGCAGGCGGGGTTACCATACCATTTTCACCCATCAAAAAAAAAATAGTATCATTTTACCTCATTCCATTTATCTCCCCTAAATATATTTGATTGCATATACTTTATACGTAAGTGACAATAGAAACTTAATACTTTCGCAGGCCAGCAAGTGGCCAACTTGCTCCTCGCGGCAAGTTAGCGTTCTGGAGTGAACGTCAAAGTAAGAGAACCATCTAATTCAGTTAACACTTCTAGTAAGTTAACTCTGTTTCAAAGTTAATCCTGATCGGATGATTACGCGTAACAGAAAGAAAGAAATATAATGTATTAATTGGCATATTAGTATTATACATGGACATTATAGCAACTAACAATAAAAATAAATTGTAGCCTCTAAAAAGGCTCTTACTCAGCATTTACCAGAGGGAGACTTTGTACAAAAGTCGTTTGCTTGGGTACCTCTGTCCCATTCGTGTTTCAACCGTGAAGCAGTTGTGTTTGCATGGCTGTGTTTCGATTTAAAGGGTGGGATATGGCGTGAATTTACTGAGTACAGAGGAATAACATCTGAGTCCCCAGGAATGGCAACGCATGGGGTGCATCATGGGCGAAACAGTACTCTGTTATGTCCATGGTACTGCTCATGTCTATAGGCGACGGTTACCAGTTTCCATCAGGTGGACCATCAGCTTAGTTGCCATTCTAAGTTGTATAAAAAAAATGTGTCCTTACGGCTCACCGACGCTGATCTTTCGTGGAAGCCTATACAGAGACTGCTGGGCGCAACAATGAAATTAAATAACAAACATCATAATAAGTGATTGATATCCTCAAACTCCCTTCACTCATCTACGCGCTATAGTGGATCTCTTACCGTCCATGCCGAGGTTTTCCCAAGAGACTACAGCATGGGGTTCTTCAAAAGGGGGGTAAAGAGGTTTCTTCAGGGTCGGCAACGCACGCGTAATACCTCTGGTATTGCAGGTGATCATAGGCTACGGTAACCACTTACCATCAGGTGGGCCGTATGCTTGTTCGCCACCTCAGTGGTATAAAAAAAATGCTGCTAGATTGTGGAATTCTCTTCCCATATCTATCCGTGAGAGTCAATGCCTAAATATTTTTTAAGTATAGACTTAAAAAGCATCTTCTATCTCTATGAACGTATTTTTCTATCGATGAATATTTTGTTATTGGAAAACGTTATTTATTTTATATTTTATCGTTCTATACAATGAAGCTTACACAACATTAGTAAAGCTTTATATACAATAGATAGAGTGAAGCTATCCAGACGATTCCAGACCACTTTATATGGACGTAAATAAGTTTTAGGAGTCGGTACTGTGTTGGTGTCTTAATTCAGTTCTGCTGTCGGAAGCGACCGCTGCGCAACCGCTGCGGCCCCGATGCGATTCATCGACGATAAACTTAAGTTGAACTGTTGTTCGCTTGTGTGAGAGCGTTTAAAACTGTGCTGAATGACTATTATTTTGTACAATTTCCTAGAAGGAACTACTAATATTGGATTGTTTTTGTTTTATTTAGTTTTATTATTAAAACTTAAAATTTTGTCGTCTAACTATAAGGTATTGTAGGTAGACTACAGTTTTTTTTTAAATTTAAAATAATATTAAGGTTTCTTCAAGGTCAGCAATGCGCACGTTACATCCTTAGTGTTACAAGCGTCCATAGGCTACAGTGACCGTTTACCATCAGACGGGCTGTATGCTTGTTTGACACCTTCGTGGTATAAAAAAAATAAACGTTACTGGTTTTTGTTAAAAGACTGAGAAGTAAAAAACAATTACGAGCATATCGATACAGGAAAGTAAAGGAAAGAAAAAATAAATAAATCCAAAAAAAGAAAAATCATATAGGACAATTTTGAACCATCAATTTGATAAGCCAAACCTGTATCGACAAGACAGAAATGTGTAAATGAAAAGCAAAATGGTTTCCGATAAAGGTCCAATGTAAAAGCTCTAACAGCCTTGATTCCGACTCGCGATGTTCGCCCGACACTGCTATAAATCAAGTGCAACTCCATTTCGTTCTATCAAAATGATATGTCGGCAGCGCGAAATGGAATGGTGTCCTCAAATACCAAGGCAAGGGCGCATGCCGCGCGAAATTGGGTTACGGGTTGTGTTCCGGCAGGTTTTCGCAACTATAGCTTCTAAAGTTTACGAGATAAGAGAAAAAATTGTGTACAATAAATAAAATTGGAAATTATTTCGTTGATGACCATTAAAAAGGTAGATGTTACTGACCAAATGCGGCTTGAATTACATACCGTTACGTAACGCTAACTGTGTAACCGTGGCTTTGCTTGCGTGAATAACAGACATTTATATATTTACTACTAATTTCTACTTTGTTTATCAAGCGGACTGTAGGCTTTACCAAATTTATTGTCACGTTTTGTTAATGGAACACTTATACACACATATTTTAGATTGGAAATAAAATAATTAAATTTTATTATATTTTGTAAATCAATATAAACGAATAAATCATGCAAACCAAGATTCTAAAAGTGTATTTTATCTTGACCAGAAACCTATTTTCTCCGCTAAAATAAATTTCTATGTAATGTAAATTTAAAAAAAATAACCAACTCCATCCAGCCTCGACTACTGCACTTACAAACGAACCACGTAATTTTTTTATGTATATAAATAAACGTTCCAGTATAGAAATGCGTAACAAACGTTTATAATTATATAAACATCATCTCTGGTTTGTGGCGGGCGTCGCGGCCGCATCCCTTCTACACACCGAGCAACCCTTTCGACCACAAATCTAAACTTAACAAAAGCGATACCGCCCCGGCCCGGATAACCCCTAAATAACTATTGTAATTGACTGAAACTGAAACCTGTGAATATTCCATAAGTTGTATATTTAACACTGACACACGGGACCTACCATGGAAGGCAACAAGTAGATTCTGAATTGCTAAAAACAGTGGATTTAATTGTAAGAAAATTATTAAGCAGCCAATGTTTTTGTTTATACTACTGAGGTGGGAAACAAGTATATGGCCCATCTGATAGTAAGCAGTTACCATAGCTTATGAACGCCCGCAATACCGAATGCATTACGCGCGCGTAGCCACCCCAGTAGTATAAGAACCCCATGCTACAGTCTCTTGGAAAAACCTCGACAGAAAGCTCATTCTCCAACCTGAATGTTCGTGGGACGTGATTGTCTAGGCTTTTAGGTTATTTTATATTGGGAGTTTTTTGTTCTTAAAAAAATCAACTTCAATTGTGCAAATGTTATTTTGATTTGAAAACTAAATTACTGAAACGATTTTGATAGAATTTTCTATGGGACCAATCTGTAAGTTCGAGTATATTGTTACTGTTAAAAAAAGAATTGCCAAAATCGATTTACAACTGACGCAGTTATGAGGTAAAAAACATAAAAAAAATACAAATTGGGAATTGGAAACTTCCTTGTTTTTGAAGTCTTTTTTTTTTATACCACTTAGAATGGCAAACAAGCTGAGGGAGACTTTGTACAAAAGTCGTTTGCTTGGGTACCTCTGTCCCATTCGTGTTTCAACCGTAAAGCAGGTGTATTTGCATGGCTGTGTTTCGGTTTGAAGGGTGAGATATAGCGTGAATTTACTGGGTACAGAGGAATAACACCTGAGTCCTCAGGAATGGCAACGCATGGAAAATATTATGGGCGAAACAGTATACTCTGTTATGTTCATGGTACTTCTCATGTCTATAGGCGACGGTTGCCTCTTTCCATCAGGTGGGCTATCAGCTTATGTGCCATTCTAAGTTGTATAAAAAAAAAACAAAATAAGTATAATCACCTATTTAAATATTTATTTTTTCTTTTTATAACTGTTATTTTAAGTGGAAAATGTTAGATAATCGTAAAGAAAACAAACACAGCTCTTGTGAACAGCGGATAACTCTTAGATTATGTTAAATGGTGGGCCCGGTGTTTGCGACCGCGATCCGTCCACTTCTAAAACATGGTCCGGGCGCCGGGCAACTGGCTCCATTTAGTGGAGGTCACTTTAACCGGATCGGGCGGCTAAATCCGGTAAGTGGGGCACGATGTTCAGATAAATCCCCATATTATTGTTATTGCCATCCCGGAGGATCCAAACCTCCTTTGTATATGATCGTCTCGTGCTATTATAATCTGTTTTTCTGTTCCTATTTCCCAATACAGTGTAGATAACTTGTGAGGAATTGGTTTCCAGTAAAAGGGTTTTATTTTTCGTTTATGCTATTGTCAGTAAACGTCCGATGGCTTTGGGTTTATGTAAGCATTTCAACGGACATTTGTATCTATCTATGTAATGTTACGATGTGAAGGGGAAACTTTATTTCGAGAATGAAAGGGCAAGAAGTAAATACATCAAGAAAAGTATATTGCAGAAAACGAGACAACCGATACACACATGATTCACAAGGAAATTGAACGATGTTAATGTAATTTCAAGTGTACAAATTTATGTTATTTCTTGGCTGCCAGTTTCTTTCGAAGCGATTCCGGCATCGCCGCGGGTGGCGGGCGAGGCATCCTCGTATAAACTTTGAAGGCATCGTAAACGAACCACTGCAGCCCGGTCAGCGTGCCAATCATAATTATACGGGCCACTAGCCCGCGCCAGATTCCAACCATTCCAACTTCTTTTATAATTCCGCCGATGGTCGCACTCGGATCCTTATTCAGTTTAGAAACAACAGTGTCAGATGGATGCGACACTATAGCGCACAGGACGCCAGCTATGTAGCCCGCTGTGAACGTCACTACTAACTGCTCCACCTTCGTGCACTGATCTCTCGGTTTCGGAACTACATTCGCGTACAAATACTCGAGAGTCTTTTCGAAGGACGCGAACTTCATCATGGTATATGGCACCTGGCGTCCCCAGAGTGGCGTCAGTCCCTTATAGAAAACTCCAAAGCCCTCTGTAGCGTACATATGCGGCATGGCAACTCTCATTTGTGAAGTGTACCCGGGTGTCGTTTGCATCCTCACTTTGGTCGCTTCGAAAGGCGCCAAAAATATATCAGCAATCAGCTCAGCGGATGCTGATGCACCCAAATATAAATAAGTGCGATATAAGTAAGCGGATTCTTCGTCGACCATGCTGGCGAATTTGTATTTGAAGTATTCGTATCCAGCGAATTTAACGGAGCCCTGGAGAGAATATCCGATCAGTGTCGGCGCCCAGCCCTTAACGAGATTGGCGACGCCGCCTTCTCGGAACGAGATGGCGAACCCCTTGAAAATGGATTTGTACTTCCCGGGGTCTACCTGCAGTCGGCACTTGACTAAGTCGAGAGGTGTGACAAGGGTGTGGGTGATGCCACAGGCACAGGCGCCGCCGGCCGCGCACAATCGGAAGAATTTGTTGCTGTTCATCTCACAAGAGAATTCTTTTTTCGACATTTTCAAGTAATTATACCGTCGAAGTAATGGACGATATAACCGATGCTCTGCGGCTCACGCCACAGTTTTTTTTTTTTTTTTTTAATACTAGATACCTACTATTGTTAATTTTAAGAATGTTTATTCTTCTATAATATTTTATAGATAAATTCTTTTGACATTAGCCTGACGGACAATTTTCTTTTTCTAATGACAGAAAATGGATATCAAATAAATACACATTGGACCATAGATATACTAACATACTCACTAACACAAGACGCCATGACTTCTTTTCAGTGCTAAGAACAAGGAATTACATAGGAGTGATAAAATTGTCAATCCATAGCAGGCTAGTGTATAGAAAATGTTATACGGCCATATAACCCCACCAAATTCAGATATAACCTGCTTGCATACTTTCTACATAAACTGTGTCGAATATATAATCCGGTAATGTAAAATTTGTCATTGAAAAATAATTAACATATCAAACATTTTCTATACACTAGGCTGCTATAAATTGAGAAAAATAACGACTGATTTGTTGTCCTCTTTTTACTAATTATATTTACATAAGAAGAAAGGAGACAACCGTATGATTCACAGTTGTTATTTTATCATTCTTTCTTTGTAATTCCTTGTTCTTAGTTTCAGTCAATATATTACTGTACAATGTATATTTCTGCCAATTAATAGGTCTGTTTTTTCGTACTTTATTTTACATTTTACCTTTCACTTGTATAGCGGCAACTTAATATATACTTTTAAATGCTAAATGAATAATTAGGACTGTTATTTTAACCTCGTCCATCTTCAACAGGAAAGGAAACTCGTTAATGAATCTCAAAGTCATATCATCATCACCAAAGAGGAATCATCACCATCATCATCATATCAGCCCTTAACCGTTCATTGCTGAACATAAGCCTCCCCTTGAGAGGTTTTGCCAATAGTTGCCACGCTTGGCAGGCGGATTCGCAACCGAAGACAGGCTTTAGAGATGTTTTAAGAGGTACGCTGCCCATCCCTCACCGCCCCTCAGTCGTGTGTATCACAAAGAGGAATATCAATTAAAAGAAACAAAAACAATTAGATAAGTTTATAATTTTATTAATTCCACCTCCGTTCGTCATCACTTACCTAATATAATGTTAATAAATCCTAAATAATATGTAACTAAAGCTAGTACATTTATATTAATTTATAATATTTGTATACACATATTTACAAAATAAAACACATTTTTTTTTTATTGCGGCGATTTCGTAGTTTTCTACAAGAGTTCCTTTCTAATCTATAGTAAATTCCATAATAATACATTACATTTCACAGTAAGTAGAGTTTATAAGTAATTACTATTAAATATTACAAGGAATATTAAATAAATAGTTTACTTATACTAATTCACTGGCGCGTGGCGTTACGATCGAATGCGAACAGGGTTGTAAGAGATAGAAACGTTCGACATTCATAACAAACTCGGTTTTACTTCGACACTTATAAAAACTTCGAATCCTAATAATAAAGTTATTAGTTTAGCTAACGATTGCCTCGACACCGGTATATTCATCAACTAACATAGTATTATGCATACATTCACCTAACACATTTAATACTGCCTACGAGATCGTCTACACTCAGCGGAATCGCGTGACGATGATACAGTGACCCGTAATATTTTGTTGCAACGATATTTATAAAAAAAAATATAAAAAAAATAAAAAACAAAATAAGAAAGTGTTCGAAAAATAAAAATGTAAACAATACAATATTGCCGCTGAAACAAAATATTTGGCCACAATAAACAGAACCAGTCTAACATTGGGTGACACGTCCACTTCACCTGCACGGCGTAAGACTAGCCTATGCGTCCATGTAAGGCTACGGTAACCACTTACCATCAGGTGGGCCGTATGCTTGTTTGCCACCTCAGTGGTATTATAAAAAAAAAATGTAATTTGTTCAAAGCACAACACACTATCGTGACATCTCTCAATACGTTTACGTGTCGAACAAGCAATATCCACAACACAATAATGGCAGTATGATTGTTACAACAGATATTTCATGGCAGTGACGTTAATGTTATAATAACAACATTTCATTCGCATTATTTACGCTAATTCGAGTCTTAAATATTTATCGTAATTTATTCATAATTCATATTGAACGTTTTGAAATTCTGTTGTGATCGAGTATCGATATAAAAATACATCACTCGCCCTGAAAATCGAGTATTCGAACTGTACTGTACTGTAGCAATCCATAAGGTGAAGAAATTAGAAACTAAATTCTCCCCTAATATCCCATCCTTAGTCTCCAATTTAATGCAACTTTACGATCGAAACAAACATGCCGAAGAAATTTATGAGAATTCTTTAACTGTACTTAAATAATATTTTTTTATAAAATATTACAAACAGCGGCTTCGTGAGCGAAGACCCTTTGCCTTACAAAATATATTGATAAGGTAAATGCACCAAAAAATGCTTTAAACATTATTTAGCGACCAATTTTGAATTGTAACATTTTTAAGGCGTGGGTTATGGATAAGTACGTACGTGTAACTCGATAATCAGGACATCACACGAGCGAGCCTCACCGCCGGAGCGTCAATCAACGTTTCTTGGGAGCGATTCGTACCGACACGTACAGCCGTAGAGGCGCCGGTACATTCAAGTCCACGTGCCTCCTGCGTCGTCTGGCTATACTGGGAACTGGGACAAACCTCGCCTCCAACTCCAGCTGTCTCTCCATCACCGCATTGGACTTGAGATGCCTCCTCAACTTGAGTGCCCACGTGCCGTCACGTTTGGACAGTATGAAGTCTTTGTTGTCATCTCCATACGCGATTCGATAATGCGGCCGCGGCCCGTCTTTAGCCGGGACGAGGCGGAGGAGGGGCGCTTTGCCCCACGTCTGTTTCGGTGTGGCTTTTACCACGACCAATTCGGCTTCTGGTTCGAGGAGCGAACGACGACCTGGGGAACGAATGAATGAATAAAAACTACATTGAAAGAATGATACAGATTATAAAGTTTAAAAATATGTACGAACGCTCAGGTTGTGGAATGAGTCTGTCGAGTTTTTCCAAAAGACTACAGCATGGAGTTCTTCAAAAGGAGGGTAAAGAGGTTTCTACAGGGTCGGCAAATTGTGCGTAATATTCCTGGAAATGGTAACCGCTTACCATCAAGTAGGCCGTGTGCTTGTTTGTCACATCAGTGGTATAAAAAAATTTACACGAACAAACAAATACTTAATTACATAAACCTAATTACGTAAAAGCACGATAATGAGGCAATAACGGGCATCCTTATCGCTAAATATTTATTTAAATTTAAGGAAATTTGGGACTAGTACTAGAATGACTCTTGAAATTTTCATATCCCACGTTTTCACTGAATATATGTAGTGTATTATCACATATGAGTATATAGAACATATTTTTTGCTTATGAAAATGTCAAAAGTTTACACCATAACACATGTTGCAAACATAACATGTTTTGTGAAGTACATACAGGTATGTATTAAAATACTCACGACGACTGCGTCTCCTGCGTTTCCTGACGACCGTGGTTCCATTCGCGTACACAACGCCCTCTTCGGGAGCTCTTCGCCGGCGGCCATTCATCTAAATGTAAAAATTTTGGGTTTTACTCTTCAAAAATATAATAGCCTACCATTATAACGCTAGCCAGATAGATTGGTTTAGAACTTTATCAACCATGTTTATTTAAAAGTTATGGAGTAACTACATTATAGTTAAAAGCAAAATAAATTTTACCCTATTGTTATTTTTAAACGTGACGTAACATTATGTGATGACATAATTGCAAAAATAGTCAAAAATAATTTAGTAGTAATAAAATTACCGAAAACATTTTTGTATCTATGTATTTTTCATTAATTTATTTTTTCTCTATTTTAATTATTATATAATATATTACAAGATATACTACATTTTATGAGACACTGTACAATGATTGGATCCAGAAAGATAAGTTCCTTTTAATTATAATTTAACCAATAAAAGTAAATGTTTATGATTTTCTTATGCTGCCACAATATATTTATTTATTTCTGTAACTTTTTTATGCACCAAAATATAGAAATATTCAATAACAAATACAAAATTCAAATGAAATAAATTAATATACAGTACAGATCATTCATTATCAGATTCCTGAGTCCTCGAGAATGACAACGCATGGGGGGTATCATGGGCGAAACAGAATATTCTGTGATGTTCATGGTACCGCTCATATCTATAGGCGACGCTTAACACTTTTCATCAGGTGGGCCGTCAGCTTGTTTGCCATTCTAATTTGCATTAAAAAAAATCAAAATATAAAGATACAAAAGACGATCTTATCGTTAGGGCAATCTCTTACAGACAACCTTTTGTTTTTTTTTTGGTGCCGTGACCAGGATGACTACCTTTGGTTAAAGAAGGGCATATAGCAGTGAGTAGATGACGCAAGAAACTTAATAATTTATTTAGACTCTTTTTTATATCGTTTCTAGGCTAGTAGGTTAGCAATACAAAAAAATAAATTTAATATATATATTACGGATGAAGTTGACATTGTTGATTGCAAAATATATTTATTATTGTTATTCAATACTTGTAATATTCAATTTAGTTTAATGCTTTTTTGTATGATCGTATTTAATTTCAGACATGTCAGAATTTCACAAATGTATATTGTTTTTTTTTTACTAATGACTACCAAAGTGTTGTTGGTTACTGTGCAGCATGTGGCACGTGTGTGTGTGTGTGTATGCAGGAGGTACCTTGCAGCTGAAGCAGCCCTCGGTGGAGATGAGGTCAGGGTCGCGGCCGAGGCGGTACTGGTCGCGCACGGGGAACACGGGCGCGTTGCCGATGTCGTCGGGCGGCAACGCGGCGTCCAGCGCACTCAGGCAGTGGCCCGCGCCCACCAGCGCGTAACCGGCCGGGCAACCGCACTCGTAGCCGCCGCCGCCCGTCGCGCACCCGAACACGCAGCCGGCCGCCGCGCACCCGCCAGCCGTCTGCAACACACCCCACCAACTCGGCCGATATGATATTCGAATGGTAACCCCGCCTACGCTATCAGTATACGCTGGCGGGGCACCAGTGAGAGATGATAGGTGACGATGAAAACATGTCAGCCCATCGTAATAAATTCCACAAAAATTTAACCTTCACGTTGTTCCCCCTGGAAATAATCGTGGTTGATTCCAGTGCAATTCATCACGATGGACAGTATTCCCATTGCTAACGATATACTCATGAGCGTATTTTTAAATGAAACTGATATGGATCGTACTCGCCTCAGAATTGTTTGGCACACGCCCCAGGATTCGACCTAAACTTTAACTATACGCAAAGATAAATCTGGGAATACATACTTCATCCAGAAGCCCTCTTCAGGCTAAGTACGGAGCTTACGTCGTAACATCTTATCTCGCATGGATCACATCATTATCCAAAATAGTATATTGGCTGGATATTGGTTAAAATGTTCATGATTGTGGCACGATCAGTGCGTACCTGCAAGCACACGGCGTGGCCGGCGTCCCAGCCGTAGCCGGCGGGGCAGCCACAGCGGTAGGCGTCGCCCACGGGGAAGCACGGCGACGCGCCGCACGGGCTGTCCGCGCAGCCGTCCCGCGGCACGCAAGCGCCGCCTGGCCCGCGAGTCGTGCCTGCGGTTATAAAATTTGTAACAATTCATAATTTAACTGCCATGGTCCTTCAAGCCGGATTATTATTTTCACAATAGACGGAATACATAATATGAGGCCTATAATTCTTTATGAAATGATCCTTTTAGACGAATCATTATTATCTGAATAAATAAAAAAAAATATGGAGTCCTTTGAGCCGGATTACCATTTTTCAAATAGGATAAAATAAAAATAGTGATGTGCTATACGTACCAGCCGGACAGTCGCAGCGGTACTTTCCGGCGTAGTTTCTGCAGGGCGACTGGCAACGGCCTTCTTCGCACTCATCTCGGTCGAGACAACGCGTGCCCGTAAGATCGAGTCGGAAGCCCCGCGGACATACACATCGGTAAGATCCTAGCAGATTCACGCATTTTCCTGGCGTCGGGCAGATACCCTCTTCTTGGCATTCGTCCACGTCTGGGGATAGGGAATTGATTATATTTATCAATATTTCATTTATATAAAAATGTCAGATATTTAAAGAGATGTTTTTTGAGACGACATACTGCATGATTTTGTAATTTTTATACGTATGTATGTAACTATATCTATTCAGGGAACATATTTTACTTTAAGATTAATCTTCTTTAGGAGTATTAAGAATGTTACAAAGAAAAGTTTTTAATTTCACAGCATGCTACCAAGTCGATTTTCATTATACATAAAAATGAAATCTTGTCGTGGCACCGAATCGTACCGCAATAAGTATGGAGCGAGCGCGGAATGAGTATGTACTGACCGACGCAGGCGTCGCCGTGCTTCTCGTAGCCGTCCTCGCAGGAGCACTCGAAGGAGCCGCGCGTGTTGGTGCAGATCTGCTGGCAGGTGTGGTCGCCGCGCTCGCACTCGTCCACGTCGCGGCAGGCGGCGCCGTCGTCGTCGAGCTCGTAGCCGGCGCGGCACGTGCAGTCGTACGAGCCGTCCGTGTTGCGGCAGGCGTGCGCGCAGGGGGCGCCGCGCGCGCACTCGTCCACGTCCACGCACGCCGCGCCCGCCGCGCGGTGCCCCGCGCCGCACACGCACCGGAAGCTGCGCACGCGCACACACACACTCACACTCACACACTACTGCCAGTGACAGGAGCAATTTGCTGGTTTCATAATTTACAGTAGCATAACATGATATTCTGCCATTTTACAGTTACTATATAACAGAAAAGGAGGATGTATGCCATTAGCAGACTTTTAAATTGTACTTGAATTTTCCTTTCCACATACTAGTATGTTATACTAGTGTAGTATATTCCCACATACTTAGTGTAGTATATTTCCATTTTACAGTCAACTCTTACAAGATACTAAAAAAATATACCAATTAAACTAAAATTCAACATACCTGCCAATAGTATTAACACATCGTCCAGGAGCACAGAGATCTGGCATTGCGGCACATTCGTCGACGTCGTTGAATACACCGCCTACCCCTCCGGTTCCACCTCCACCGCCTAGGCTCATTCCACCACCGCCTCCGGCGATTACCCCTCCTCCGTTACCGCCTTTTCCACCGTGGTCGATATCAAGATTCCTATCAGTACAGAGCTCCATACGTTCAGAAGAGCCGGGCGAAGGACATAATTCACATTCTGGACCCCATGCTACACCGACTGTGCAACAACACTGCGCCCTGCAAAATGAATTTTTAGTAATTATTGTTATGATCTTTCTCTGTTATTTTACAAACTAAACACGAGGAGAAGAAACTTACAAGAAGTTTAACCATTTGCATTTACTCTCTATTTATGTGTTATTTTTACCAAATGTATATCACTAAAGGGTTCTTCAAAGTCTTTTATTCCTTCAAGCCCAGTGTGAAGTACCAAATTGTAAAAAAGTAAGTAAAATATCTACTTATAGATAATATTACAAAATAAACAGCGTTTTGTACAAAAGTGTCTGCAATCATTTAAGGCTGCTTATACACACACTGCCATACTCACTTGGTGACGTGCGTGGGCAGCGCGGGCGTGGAGGCGACGTTCCGCGGCCACGGCTCCGGCACGCAGCGCCCGCCCACCAGCAACCGGTGGCACACCGCCGTGCGCCGGCTGCCGTACGTACACAGTACACAGTACACAGTACACAGTACACACACACTGCCATACTCACTTGGTGACGTGCGTGGGCAGCGCGGGCGTGGAGGCGACGTTCCGCGGCCACGGCTCCGGCACGCAGCGCCCGCCCACCAGCGACCGGTGGCACACCGCCGTGCGCCGGCTGCCGTACGTACACAGTACACAGTACACAGTACACAGTACACACACACTGCCATACTCACTTGGTGACGTGCGTGGGCAGCGCGGGCGTGGAGGCGACGTTCCGCGGCCACGGCTCCGGCACGCAGCGCCCGCCCACCAGCGACCGGTGGCACACCGCCGTGCGCCGGCTGCCGTACGTACACAGTACACAGTACACAGTACACAGTACACACACACTGCCATACTCACTTGGTGACGTGCGTGGGCAGCGCGGGCGTGGAGGCGACGTTCCGCGGCCACGGCTCCGGCACGCAGCGCCCGCCCACCAGCGACCGGTGGCACACCGCCGTGCGCCGGCTGCCGTACGTACACAGTACACAGTACACAGTACACAGTACACACACACTGCCATACTCACTTGGTGACGTGCGTGGGCAGCGCGGGCGTGGAGGCGACGTTCCGCGGCCACGGCTCCGGCACGCAGCGCCCGCCCACCAGCGACCGGTGGCACACCGCCGTGCGCCGGCTGCCGTACGTACACAGTACACAGTACACAGTACACACACACTGCCATACTCACTTGGTGACGTGCGTGGGCAGCGCGGGCGTGGAGGCGACGTTCCGCGGCCACGGCTCCGGCACGCAGCGCCCGCCCACCAGCGACCGGTGGCACACCGCCGTGCGCCGGGCACGTACACAGTACACAGTACACGTACACACACACTGCCATACTCACTTGGTGACGTGCGTGGGCAGCGCGGGCGTGGAGGCGACGTTCCGCGGCCACGGCTCCGGCACGCAGCGCCCGCCCACCAGCGACCGGTGGCACACCGCCGTGCGCCGGCTGCCGTACGTACACAGTACACAGTACACAGTACACACACACTGCCATACTCACTTGGTGACGTGCGTGGGCAGCGCGGGCGTGGAGGCGACGTTCCGCGGCCACGGCTCCGGCACGCAGCGCCCGCCCACCAGCGACCGGTGGCACACCGCCGTGCGCCGGCTGCCGTACGTACACAGTACACAGTACACAGTACACACACACTGCCATACTCACTTGGTGACGTGCGTGGGCAGCGCGGGCGTGGAGGCGACGTTCCGCGGCCACGGCTCCGGCACGCAGCGCCCGCCCACCAGCGACCGGTGGCACACCGCCGTGCGCCGGCTGCCGTACGTACACAGTACACAGTACACAGTACACACACACTGCCATACTCACTTGGTGACGTGCGTGGGCAGCGCGGGCGTGGAGGCGACGTTCCGCGGCCACGGCTCCGGCACGCAGCGCCCGCCCACCAGCGACCGGTGGCACACCGCCGTGCGCCGGCTGCCGTACGTACACAGTACACAGTACACAGTACACAGTACACACACACTGCCATACTCACTTGGTGACGTGCGTGGGCAGCGCGGGCGTGGAGGCGACGTTCCGCGGCCACGGCTCCGGCACGCAGCGCCCGCCCACCAGCGACCGGTGGCACACCGCCGTGCGCCGGCTGCCGTACGTACACAGTACACAGTACACAGTACACAGTACACACACACTGCCATACTCACTTGGTGACGTGCGTGGGCAGCGCGGGCGTGGAGGCGACGTTCCGCGGCCACGGCTCCGGCACGCAGCGCCCGCCCACCAGCGACCGGTGGCACACCGCCGTGCGCCGGCTGCCGTACGTACACAGTACACAGTACACAGTACACAGTACACACACACTGCCATACTCACTTGGTGACGTGCGTGGGCAGCGCGGGCGTGGAGGCGACGTTCCGCGGCCACGGCTCCGGCACGCAGCGCCCGCCCACCAGCGACCGGTGGCACACCGCCGTGCGCCGGTCTGTCCATGTACACGCACGGTTATACATGCTTGTTATATCAATTGGGATTAAATAAACACATATAGGATTACAATACGCTAGCCGCTGACACTGACTGACGCCTTTGTACAAGACAAAGAACTATGACGAAGACCGACTAAGAAGACAGACGTTATTTTCAAACAAGAAATTAGCCTTTTATTTTAATACTTGAGACGTCCAAATTCCAACCTTTCGACCATTTAAGCGACCCTCGACCCTTCAACCTCTTATAAGAGTTCTCCTCAAATCTACTCCCAAACTTCTTTTTCTCATTTTGTCTATCTTATACAATTCGTGCTTTACATTTCAGTATGTATCTTTCTATTGCTAAATAGTAGGCTGCCGAATGCTTTCCGTCTCTGTTTTCCAGATCCATTTGCTTCCGATTATCTTAAATATCTTTCTATTGCAGTATTTTTTTTTTTATTTATACCAAATAACAAAGAAACTGACGGTCTACTTGATGGAAAATAATAACCGTCTCCTATAAACATGAATAACACCTAAAAGTCACACAATACAATGTATCGGTCATCTGTTGTCATTCCTGAAAATTAAAATATTGTCTTCGTACCGTCTAATTCCATTCAAACTGAAATAGGCATGTAAACTCTACTGCTCAGAGTTAAAAAGACAAGTTTTTTTTATGCAACTTAGAATGGCAAACAAGCTGACGGCCCACCTGATGAAAAGTGGGAACCGTCGCCTATAGACATGGGCATTATCATGGACATACCACAGTATACTGTTTCATCCATGATACCCCGCATGCCTTGCTACTCCTGAAGACTCAAGTGTTAGTCCTCTGTACCCTGTAAATTCACTGCCACATCCCACCCTTCAAACCGAAATACAGCCATGCAAACACAACTACTTCACGGTAGATACACGAATAAGATAGAGGTACCCAAGCAAACGACTTCTGTACAAAGTCTCCCTCTGGTACAAGTGGGACAAAGGCACCAAAACAAACTTCTGTAGAGGCTGCCGTAGAGTACTGACCGATACAAGCCATGCCGTCGTCGCTGCGCTCGTAGCCCTCGTCGCAGTCGCACTCGAAGCCGCCGTCGGTGTTGATGCACACGCCGGGCGAACAGTACTGGTTGTCCTCCGCACACTCGTCGATGTCCTCGCACGCGTCGGGGGCATCGTGAGGTGCCGACGTTCGTTTGTAGCCTGCACCCAAGTATCAAATCATTTAGTTTGAATGAATTACATTTAATCGTTAAAGTTAGTCAGTAATCTGTATTAAGATTCAGGATTATTGATGGTAAAGCAGCCTTAAAGAGCTGAATGGATTTTAATTTGGTGAACTAATTATATACTCTTATTAACACAAAATCTTAATACGCTCGAATAAAGCTGCAAGCTGTAAAGGAACAACTAAAGTTTAGAAAAAGAAAAGTATTAACTGAAGTCAAAGATTAGTAGATAAGTACCCATACCTACGGTACCTCCCCCGGAGCATACGGATCTGATCGATGCATTTGCCCACGTTAAAAAAAAGGTTCGGTTAGGTAAGAATTAGCAGATATGTAAAGAATTGTATAACATAAATGAGACTCTGGTACGAAATATATCGCTGTGGTAAAGAGATAAGAAGCTTAACGAGGTATTATTACCTTCGGGGCACTTGCAGACGTAGGAGCCGACGACGTTCTCGCAGGCGTGCGGGCAGGGCGGGCGGTCGGCGGCGCACTCGTCGATGTCGCGGCAGTGCAGCCCGTCGGCGGCCAGGCGGTAGCCGTACGGGCACGTGCAGCGGAACGACCCCGCCGTGTTGTGGCAGCGGAACGAGCACGCCGCGCCCTCCGCGCCCTCCGCGCACTCGTCCACGTCCACGCACGTCTGCACACGCACACCCACGCATGCACACGTTATCACGAGTAATTCTATTGTTGCTCCAACATACTAAGAGCCGCGCACTCCGCGCACTCGTCCACGGCTACGCACGACAACACACGCGCACCCACGCACGTACACGTTATTACGACTAATGCAACTGACTGCTCCGTCATACTACGACGACGGCATGCAATATACGCAAATCATATATAATATGTAAAGACAGAGGTTTTCGACACTCTATTCTCTTTATCTATTCTATAAGAAATTTAAAGTGATGTCGTTCATATATAAAGTCGTTCATCCAAATATGATGGTTTGGAACGGTATAAATGTATTGATTACTTGCGTATTGAGCTTAAATGTCGGCTTGCTTTATTCATTAAATAAATAAGTTATTTTTTTTTACTACCATTGCTTATAAAAAAACTACCATTTAAACACATGAACTATGATATATGAATGACATATGATGATATGAACTTATTCCAGCAGCAGTCTTAGAGAGGCATCGCAATAGTAGCAATAATCGCAACGGTAGGTAACGGAGAAGAGAAGCAGCAAGAGAGGTACTGACATGGTCGGGCCCCTCGGTGAAGCCGGCGCTGCAGGTGCAGTCGTAGCCGCCGGGGCGGTTGGCGCAGGTGCCGTTGCCGCAGACGCGCGGGTCGGCGGCGCACTCGTCGGCGTCGCGGCACGCCAGCCCGGCCGCGTCCAGCGCGTAGCCGGCCGGGCACTCGCAGCGGAACGAGCCGTCCGTGTTCACGCAGCGCCCGCCGCCGCACACGTCCGGCCGCACCGCGCACTCGTCCAGGTCCTGCACGCACACCCACGCACCCACACCCCCACACCCCCGCACTCAGACAATACATATATGCAGCTACGTTTACACTAGCTACGATTTAACGTTCTTTTGCTAAAACGTACTTGCATACTGGTTCATATTTGGTGATTATTATTTTAATAAAGAACACGATTTATCATGATAATACAAGAAAGGAACAAAATATACCATCATCATCATCATATCAGCCTTTAACTGTCCACTGCTGAACATAAGCCTCCCACTTGGAGGATTTTACCGGTTGCCATGCTTGACAGGCGGTTTGGCAACCGCAGTTAGCCTTTTGGGATGTTTTAAGTAGAATACTGCACCCTATCTCTCTCCCTTTCAGAAAGCCTTTACAGACTTCTTTATTGCCGACGTTTCAACGTGGATTACACCACGTCATGGTCTCGACAAGATTGTATATTTAAAATTGAAAAAAAAAAATTAACTATCGTTTACAGCTCAAGATTACATCATAGCTCTTTGTCACTTGACACGTTTACACAAACTAAACAAAAATGACAGTAACAGAGGAAATAGAGTTTTCTCGTTAGAGTACATGCAGAATACTGTACCTGTGTCAGATTCGGTCGACCCATTCCGCCCTGGCAGATCCGCAGGAACTCCGCGGAGTCCGGCGACGGGCAACGCTCGCAATACCTGCCCCACGCGGCACCTGGAATAGAATACAACGAAAAATATACATATATCCGTATACAGTCTTAATACAGCTACAATGTAAAAAAATACATATATTTTTATTATCTTCATTCCAGATAGAGACTTTGTACAAAAGTCGATTGCTTGGGTACCTCTGTCCTATTCGTGTTTCAACCGTGAAGCAGTTGTGTTTACATGGCTGTGTTTCGGTTTGAAGGATGGGATATGGCGTGAATGTACTGGGTACAGAGGAATAACACCTGAGTCCTCAGGAATGGCAACGCACGGGGTTATCATGGGCGAAACAGTATACTCTGTTATGTCCACGGTACTGCTCATGTCTATAGGCGACGGTTACTACTTTCCATCAAGTGGACCGTCAGCTTGTTTGCCATTCTAAGTTGCATAAAAAAACTTAAAAATCCAGAAATACCTTCAGAGCAGCAGCACTCTGGACGCGCCAGCTCGAGAGGTCTCGCCTTGTGGCAGCGGCCGCTCTCCCACTCGTCGTAGCACAGCTCTTTGCGCTCGTCCACACACACCGCCAGCGTCTTGTCGAACCGCCAGCCGGACGGGCAATCACATACGTAACTGCAAAATATTATGTACATCTTTGTTTTAAACAACGTGTTAAAATATGTTTTAATACAACGAATTTAGGTATATACACAGTCTGACTGGCAAGCCATCACCGCAACCTATAAACGCTCAAACGCCCTCATTCCGACTTTACTATCTGTTTTTATATGAAAATCTCAAGTCTAGGTTACCATACCCAGAAATTGCAATGTCATATTTCAAGCTTTAATCTGGAAGCATGCAAACATGCAGCATAGCCTGGAAGTGTTTACGGAAAATCTCTCTAATCTGCACCTCTGTTCCATTCGTGTTTCTATCGTGAAGCAGTTGTGTTTGCATGGCTGTGTTTCGGTTTGAAGAGTGCGATATGGCAGTGAAATTACAGGGTACAGAGGGATAAAACCTGAGTCCTCAGAAATGACAACGCATGGGGGGTATCATGGGCGAAACAGTGTACTCTGTTATGTCCGTAGTACTATCTATATCTATAGGCGACGATTACCACTTTCCATCAGGTGGGCCGTCAGATTGTTTGTCATTCTGGGTTGCAATAAACATGTTATTCATCGAAATGAAAAACAGAGTTTTTAATCCCAATATAATTCAAGATAAATTCATATCTCGACAACCACAATATGAATATTAACCACGCAATAGGTTAAAAAATCTTACCCTCCATTAAAGTTGCGACACTCTCCACCGGCGCATGCGTACGGGAGTTCTTTGCATTCGTCACGGTCCACGCAGCGTCTGCCCACCAGCCGCCAGCCAGTGCCGCAGGAACATTCATATCTAAAGGAAAAAAAATAATTACATATGTTAATAATTTATACCTATATATAATTAACGACATATAAAATAAAATCAGTATTAATCTGTATTTGGAACAATAAAATTAGTCAATAGACTTTACCAATTTATCAGGCAAGGATAACACAGTTGAGTGACATTTGTCAATATGACAACTTCATTACTCCTATTAAGTCCATATAGACTGACTTAGCGTGACAACTGGAATTACCACGCTCAAACGTGATAACAGTGGCGAAACTGTCACGATGACAAATGTCACTTGTGCATAAAGGTTTTTTCACTTTTTTTATTTTATTATTCTAATCTAATTAACCAATGATGTAAAATTTTGTTGCATAAACATGATAAGCTGCTTTCGGGTATCAAAGAATATTTTCTAAAGGTGACTAAAGTTCCCTTAAAAATGCTTATTATGTACTCTCAGACATGTCTTTTGCTCAACGCTGAATGCTTTACTTGCACACTGGGGAGGGCACCAGGCCATTTGGGTAGGACAGAATCCACATGACATAAGATTAGCTGTTCAAATGGGTGGAGAGGCGGATAGGAGTGCGAGAGTAGCAAGCGGACGGACCCGCCGTTGGTGTTGGTGCAGGAGGGCGAGCCGTCGCGGCCGCAGGGGTGCGGCTGCTCGTCGCACTCGTCCACGTCGCGGCAGTTGCGCTGGTCGGGCGTCAGCGCGTACCCGGCCGCGCACTCGCAGCGGAACGAGCCCACCGTGTTGCGGCAGCGCCCGTTGCGGCACACCATGCCGCCCTCGCGGCACTCGTTCACGTCTGACGTACACACAAACAAACACGCTCCTAGTCATTCTTTACTATATATTACTCATAATACAAGGATATTGGATTTGAAGTTATGTGTTACTTAAAACAATTAATTTTAAATTAAAACGATTAATTATTTTATTATTTTACTAAATAATATGGACATTATTAAAAAGAAAAAGTTCGCTCTTTTTTTACTTAACCATTAAATAGATAAAAATGCACTATTGTATCCACACTAATTAGAAGTCATCATCATCATCATATCAGCCTTTAACTATCCACTGCTGAACATAAGTCTCTCTTGGGAGGATCTTGGGAGGGTCTTGCCAGTAATTGCTACATTTGACAGGCGGATTGGCAACCGTAGTCAAGCTTTAGAAGTGGAACGCTGCTGCCCATCCCTCGTCCTCACTAAGGCGACTCTTACGACGGCACGGCATAGAATGTGATGGCCTAATCTATGCCAAGACCATACAGCTAATTAGAAGTATCACAATGTTGCACTTACCCACGCAGTCGTTATTCGCTCCCGGCTTGAAACCTTCATCGCAGTGACAGGTGTATGAGCCGGGCAAGTTCTCGCAGGTACCGTTGCGACACATGGGCCGCGGTCGCGAACACTCGTCCACGTCGCGGCACACATTATCCCGCAGTGTGTATCCAGGTTTACATTCGCATCTGATATTAAAACAAAATTTTGAATTTACTTGCAAATTTAAAAAAAATAGATGAACATATAATTTTTAATCAAATACCAAATCACTTGTAACAATTCATTTGTAGCTGTGAGGGCTTCACTCATACGAGGGTAGTAGATCCACCAGGAGATTACCTGTAAGAGCCGACAGTATTCCTGCAGTCGCCGTGCTCGCAGAGGTGGTTGTCCTCGCACTCGTCGACGTCGTCGCAGGCGTCGAGGCTGGCGGTGAGGCGGTAGCCGGGCGGGCAGCGGCACTCGTACGCGCCGGGCAGGTTCACGCACTGCGCCAGCCCGCGGCAGCGCGCGCCGCCCGCCGCGCACTCGTCGATGTCGCGGCACAGGTGCGACGTGTTGTCGTGCTCGTATCTGGGCCGGGTGCGCCGTTACATTTAATGACGTTTATACAGATTACGTCCCGCACAGGTCACTGCAGTACGTATCGATTACAAATATTTCAACACTCCATCCTTAAATATGTTATTGAAGAAGCGTGGGAAGGTAGTATCAAAATTACGAAAAGACATTTGAACTAGACGTTAGTGACAGTCGACAAATCAGCTAAATATTTTATATAGTGTCGACAAATTTTTAACAACATATAATTTATTGCTATTCTCTTATGAACATTTTCAGACTGACCTTCATACGGACCTATATGAAAATAATTTTAACTCATTTTTAGTAAATTTGCTACTTCCTCATCCTCACATACTTACCCATGATCACATCCACACTGGAATCCGGTGGCTGTATCGTGACATGTACCAGGCTTACACAGCTGGGGCATGATATCACACTCGTTGATCGGCTTCGTTTCGTTAGTGACAGGGTTGCGATACAATCCGGGCTTCTCTCCGCAGAGGGCGATGTGCTCAGGTGAGGACTGTTCGGGGCAGGCCTCGCAGGGCGCACCCCACGCCTTGCCCACTGAGCAGCAACACAGGTGCTTCGTTTGCGGAACTCCCACGGCCACGGAGCATCGTTCATTATCAGGATCCCAGTCGAGGTAGCACTGTCGTTGGCGCACGTCCACACATTCCTCTGGAATAGTATATGCTCATAGTGAATATGAAAGCCAGAACAAGTTTTTGTTACAACAACAAAGTTAATAAGAAATATTACGCATGCATATATATTATATATCAGTCAAAGGGAGATCAAGAAAGAGCACTGAGCCGGAATAGGCCAAAATTAGAGCGTATAATATGGGGCGAGTACTTACTGCCGCTGGGCATGGGCACGTAGCCCTCGGGACAGAGGCAGACGTAGGAGCCGGGCATGTTGCGGCAGATGCCGGGTCCGCAGACGTCGGGCACGGCGCACTCGTCTATGTCGCGGCAGGCGCGCTCGCCGTCGTCCAGGCGCCAGCCGTCGCCGCACGTGCACACGAACGAGCCGAACGTGTTCGTGCACGTGCCGTGCGCGCACAGCGCCGGGTGCGCCGCGCACTCGTCGATGTCCGCCAGCGTCACCACATACGACGGCTGCGACCGTCACACAAACACACAGATCGAATTACTAAGCACGCACCACGTGCAGATTGCGCACGAAGCTGCTTATGATTAAGGGGCCGGGATGGTCCCAAAACTAGTTAAGCGTTTACAACAAAAAACATGTAAATCAAACCAGTTATTTCTACAGTTAGAATATAACATGTCGTTATGAAATCTATAATAATACGACCAAATTATGATACATTAATGTTTCCAGGCGAAGTCTCTAAAATGTTATATTTTCTGGTTAATCTATGTACAGCTTATCAAAAATAAATACTTAGTAAATTGTGATATAAATTATAAGTGAATCTATCATTAATTTCTAGTAAAACATTTTTCCTAATTCTTTTTATATTTCTACAAAGATTAAACTGAATTTATAATAAATAAAATAACAATAAAATCTCACCGGCTCGAGAACGGGCTGATAACCGGGACCACCAGGACAAAGTTGTCTGTACTCTTCTGATCCCGGATCGGGACACAAATCGCAGTAATTACCCCATGCAGCACCTACCATTAATATAAATATTAACTTTGTAATAATAAAAAAGTAATGTTCGTGGTAATATATGTACATAAATTCATTTTGTTACATTTTAACCATTCAATTACAAAATCAATTTAACTAATAATTGGTAAAAGAAAAACTACAAATTAAAAAAAAATACGTACCGACAGAACAGCAGCACGCCGCCATTGTGCCATCTTCAGATAGTTCGTCGCTCTCTCGACAATGTTCTGTTCCAGATCGCAGCTCCACTTTGGAGTAACAACGCGCTTTCCTTGAATCTGCAGACAAAAAATATTTGCTTATTTCTGGTATATTACACTTTTACCATTTTTATTTAAATAGACTTGTTTACAAGCACTTTAAAATCGTAATTTTTTAAAATCTACTGCAGGGTTCAGTTAATTGTTATCTGTTGAGTATATTATATGTACACATATATTTATTTAAATAATAACTATGTCTAAAATTATGTAGGTATTAAAAAAACCATGCATGAATAACTAGCACCATGCACACTTGTCGTTCAAGTACAGTACAATATAAGTAAATAAATATTTTTTTTTTTTTACTTAAGTAAACGTGATTATTATTTTTGATAGTATTTTTTAATCTACTTTGAAAGGCAATTTCAAATAAAAAGTAGAACATATATTCATGAGTGACATTTGTCACTGTGACAATTTCGCTACTTTTGTCAAATGAATAACTGACGTAGAAAAAACAACTCAACGTACATTTTTATAACAGAACACTTTATATTACATAATTCACCTAAATAATTTTTTTATACATCTTAGAATGGCAAACAAGCTGACGGCCCACCTGATGGAAAGTGGTAACCGGCGCCTATAGACATGAGCAGTACCATGGACATAACAAAGTATACTGTTTCACCCATGATACCCCCCATGCATTGCCATTCCTGAGGACTTAAATGGTAATGCAAGTCCGTGACCAGTATTGAATATTTTATCCTTCGCGAACAAAAATCCCATAATTTGTGTATAAGGTTGTCTGTAAGAGATTGCCCTAGCGATAAGACCGCCTTTTGTACATTTATGTGTATATTTCAATCTGTATTTATGTTACTGTATTTCATTTGAATTATTCACTTGTCATTGTATATTTTTATTTATGGTGCAATAAAGAGTTAAATAAATAAATAAATATTTTGATTATTTATTAATAAATTTATGGATATATTTTTCATATGAATCGTTCTAAAATAATGTAAGAAATATATACATACAGTCTATCGATATATTTAATCTATTACACCATGAACTCACAGCTATAAAAAATATCTGCGCCCTAAATATAAATCATTAAAATTAAAAAAAGGTGCAAACAAAACATCTAAACCTGTAAATTCGTAGTCATTTACTATCTGAACGCCGTTAACACCTGATATATGGTATATGTTACGTACACGTACGTGTGGTCCCGGCATAGAATAGGCCACCCCTTCTTTTCCATTGGGTGTAGTAAGAGGCGACTAAGAGAAGGCGAGGGATGGGCAGCAGCGTCCCTCTTAAAACATCTTTAAACCCTAACTGCGGTTACCAATCCGCCTACCAAGCATGGCAACTACTGGCAAAACCCCCCTAAGGGAAGCTTATGTTCAGAAGTGCACAGTTAAAGGCTGATATGATGATATGTTACGTACCATAGCAAGCGGTGCCGTCGGAGACGAGGTCGTAGTTGGGCGGGCAGCGGCAGATGTACGAGCCCTGCGTGTTGACGCAGTCGCCGTACTGGCACGACTGCGGCGACTTGCACTCGTCCACGTCCGTGCAGTTGAAGCCGGGCATCACTGCAAATGAACACGCATAATTATGTTTAATACTAGTGACCCACACTGGGTACAAACGATTATTTTTAAAGTAAAATACAGCCCATGTTATGTTGATGTAAATTTCAACAGGTCAAAGAGTTTTTAAAATCAGTTTATATATTGATTGTTATTTCTTTTTTTATTTATTTATACAAACAAATGATCAAATTTAGTTTAATTTCGATTAATTGAATCTTTAGTTTAAACTATCTTTTTAGTTTAGACTATCTTACACTTTATTGCATTCATTTCATAATGTCGTCAGTCAGGCCTTCATTTCATAATATCGTCAGTCAGGCCTTCGTTTCCTAATATCGTCAGTCAGACCTTCATTCCATAATATCGTCAGTCAGACCTTCATTCCATAATATCGTCAATCAGACCTTCGTTTCCTAATATCGTCAGTCAGGCCTTCGTTTCCTAATATCGTCAGTCAAACCTTCATTCCATAATATCGTCAGTCAGACCTTCATTCCATAATATCGTCAGTCAGACCTTCGTTTCCTAATATCGCCAGTCAGACCTTCATTCCATAATATCGTCAGTCAGACCTTCATTCCATAATATCGTCAGTCAGACCTTCATTCCATAATATCGTCAGTCAGACCTTCATTCCATAATATCGTCAGTCGGACCTTCGTTTCCTAATATCGTCAGTCAGACCTTCATTCCATAATATCGTCAGTCAGACCTTCGTTTCCTAATATCGTCAGTCAGGCCTTCGTTTCCTAATATCGTCAGTCAGACCTTCATTCCATAATATCGTCAATCAGACCTTCGTTTCCTAATATCGTCAGTCAGGCCTTCGTTTCCTAATATCGTCAGTCAGGCCTTCGTTTCTTAATATCGTCAGTCAGGCCTTCGTTTCCTAATATCGTCAGTCAGACCTTCATTCCATAATATCGTCAGTCAGACCTTCATTCCATAATATCGTCAGTCAGAGCTTCATTCCATAATATCGTCACTCAGACCTTCATTCCATAATATCGTCAGTCGGACCTTCGTTTCCTAATATCGTCAGTCAGACCTTCATTCCATAATATCGTCAGTCAGACCTTCAATTCATAATATCGTCAGTCAGGCCTTCGTTTCACTATACAAGTGTACTCACGATCGTCGATGCTGTCGGACTGGTAGCCCTTGTCGCAGAGGCACTTGAACATGCCGTACGTGTTGACACACTTGCCGAACACGCACACATTGTCGAATGTCGCACACTCGTCCATATCTGCAACATATAATGATACACGTATACACTCCACGCTGGTTTGTATGACCACAGTTATACGACCGCATTTAAATATTCAATCAACCAATCAATCAATCGCCTGATTATATCACATTTTTGCTGTTATAACTGTGGAGAATATTTTTTCAACAGAAAACCTTGAAAATGATATCTTTCAAAATAATCTGTTCACAATTGAATAAATTAATGAAAAATCTTTATTGTTCCCTTAAAAAATTAACAATGTGTACACAAACATAATTAATATTTAATTGCATAAAAGCAAAATAAAAAGGCAACAATTGAGATAAAAATAAATAAAATTACAGTCGAATATAGGAAATTGTGCTTTTTGAACTCGTATCACAAATGCAATGAAAAAGAATAAACTATATGAATGAATGAATGAGTATACTTTATTTGCATTATACAATATAGAAAATAAGCAAGGCAATTTACAAACATAACGATACAATTGTATAAGTACAGTAAGGCGGTCTTATTGCTGAGAGCAATCTTTTCAAGACAACCTTAGGGTAATGGACTAATTGTTATACAAGTAGGTATAATAGTGCTTTATAATTAAAAAAGCATCTTTTTCAAATTAAAAATATATAAAAATTACTATATACTCGTATATAATATAATTTTATGATATACTCGTATATAACTTCTTCAAGGATTGGCTCCTTACAAAAGTCGATTGCTTGAGTACCTCTGTCTCATTTTATTTGTGTTTCAACCCTGAAGCAGTTGTGTTTACATGGCTGTGTTTTAGTTTGAAGAGTGGAATATGGCAGTGAATTTACAGGGTACGGGGTACACATGAGTCCTCAGGAATGACAACGCATGGGGGGTGTCATGGGCGAAAAAGTATACTCTGTTGTGTCCGTGGTACTGCTCATGTCTATAGACGACGGTTACCACTTTTCATCAGGTGGACCGTCAGCTTGTCTGCCATTTTAAGTTGCATAAAAAAAACAAAGCGTCAGCAATTGACTCAAGGGCGCCAAATCAGCTAAAGCCAGTGCCGCTATTGCTGTTATTGAACAAGTTGACGTACCGAGACAGGAGCGTCCGTCTGGCGACTTGGTGAAGCCGACGTCGCAGTCGCACTCGTAGCCGCCGGGTGTGTTGGTGCAGTGCCCGTTCTCGCACAGCGTCGGGTCGTTCGCGCACTCGTCGATGTCCACGCACGAGTACCTGTTGACAATACGTTATGGGTACAGGCTATCCACGTCACACTTCACCCTAACCAATTGACGAGGGAGGGGCCCCAAGTTCCATTACTAACAATTTTCCCAAACAGGTCTATCGCCACGTGGTCCCCACTGAAAACCATGGTGCTGAATTCCAGGTGAATTCATCACGATAGACTAACTGACCTGCCTTTTCATTCTCACCTATCATCCCTCACTGGTGCCCCGCCAGCGTACATCGTCTAATCGAAGAACGAGCTTCAAGATGGCATTATCTCTTAAAAGAACACCTTAGAGTTTTTTTTACGCCACTGAGGTGGCAAACGAGCATATGGTCAGCCTGATGGTGAGTGGTTATCGTAGCCTATAAACGCCTGCAATACCAGAAACATTACGTGTATGTTGCTGACCTAGAAGAAACCTCTTTATCAAAATGAAGCTCATAAGACTATTATCAGATTAGAAAAGTGAGCGTGTGACTGTCTGACCCGTCGCCCTTGTAGCCGGTGTCGCAGAGGCAGACGAAGGAGCCGTCGGTGTTGCGGCATGCGGCGCGCGGGTGGCAGCCGCCGTTGTTGGTGAGGCACTCGTCCACGTCCTCGCACTCGCTGCCGTCGCCGCGCCAGCCCTCGCGGCAGCGGCACTGGTACGAGCCCTGCGCCCCACCCAGTACGACAACATTAAACACATTCTAGATCATCCAATAGCAAGACATTCCGCAGATGTGAGGGATTTAGAGCAAAAACTTCAAAAAGCTAGAAAATTTTTTGGAACACTCCGTGGAAAGTGAAATTTATTATAAATTCGTATTTTTTTATACAATACAGTGTACGGGCAAAGTTCGTTGATAATCCAATGACAATTTACGCCCGAGTCCAAAATTATTCAGGTAATCGGGAAGAAAAACAGTAAAACCGATTTAAACGACAAATTGTAATTACTTTATATATATTTAGAAACTTATTTAAGAATTTTTCTTATACTACTACGGTAGCAAACAAGCATACGACCCGCCAGATGGTAAACGGGGTTGCGTCACTAGGAATATCACGCGCGCGTTGCCAACCCCTAAGAAATCCTAATACATCCTCTCGGCAGGAAGATCATACCATAACCTGAGTGTTCGCTGGAGGAAGCCTTTTTAGAAGCCATACTATGCGTGACTTTTAAGGTGTAGGGTTGGATTCCCTGCCAACGACTACCGGTGTGATGGTGAAATAAGAGTAAGATGATAGAAGATGATGAAATAAGTATAAAATCACGAGAACGCATCAAAAAACTTTAATTACCTCATGAACTACCAGAATAGTTATGATGTGAGGCCGTTCTTTAAATAGATTAACCAAACATGTTAATAATCAAACATAGATTTAAATGAGAAAATGAAAAATACTATTTTATAAATATTAATATTTTTTGTGAAACAGATAGTAAACTGACCGGTAAATTGATGCAATCAGCAGCCGGATGGCAGTCGCAGGTGCCAAGTTCGCACTCGTCGTCGTCGGTACAGGCCGGGCCCGCCTCGGGCTTCACGCTGAAACCGTCCGGGCACAGGCACACAAAGCTTCCGATCGTATTACGGCATTCGCCAGCACCGCACAGTTCGGGGATCTGCATATCAATAGTATGTTATAGTTTCTTCTGTTGGATCAAAATGGAATGATAATTTCACTTGTGATACTAGTTTAGACTAGCCGGATATTAGTAAAGAATGTAAAGGACTAAGGTTAAATCAGGTTTTCAGTTCGATAGTGAGGTTTAAAGTATGTAGTCTGTACTAGGAAATAGAATCGCAAATTTCCAGTTCTTTGTGGTAGTCAAGGAACTTGCCCTCGTTAAACTTTCAATTGGATACGAGATCTCGATCAGAGAAGAGCTAAGAAACTTAGAACTGCTTGTTATTATTGTGCTGTGTTATCTATCGTAATTCAATAATGATATGGCATTACTCATCTAGAAATTCAGATAATTTCAAAATCTGCAAAATACTTTGTACACAACCATTAAAAAAAAATGTTGTTTTTAAGGACAAGATCAGATTTCTGGAGAGAACCGATGTGGAATGCCATATTATGTACAGGGTCTGTGTTGTTACTGTTGCGTCTTAAAATTCAAAATTTTGCTTGTTAAGTAATTAAAAAGTAAGAATTATCTGTGTATTTGGTAGTTTGAGGATGGAGCGGTTAGTGTAGGTGTGAGAGGAGGAGGCGGAGGTAGGGGGGAGACGTGAGACGTACCTCGGCGCACTCGTCGACGTCGCGGCAGGTAGGGCGCGCGGCGGGTGCGTCGGGCGCGGGCAGCAGCCCGTCGCCGCACGCGCAGCGGTAGGCGCCCGGCGTGTTGCGGCACGCGCCGCCGCCGCACGGCCGCGCGCCCGCGCCGCACTCGTCCACGTCGCGGCACGTGCGCCCGTCCGCGCGCAGCGCCCACCCCTCCCTGCGCACGCGCACGCTCAACACACGCTACACACGCTGCACACGCTACACACGCTACACACACACAGCCGCCGCACGCCGCGCGCCCGCGCCGCACTCGTCCACGTCGCGGCACGTGCGCCCGTCCGCGCGCAGCGCCCACCCCTCCCTGCGCACGCGCACGCTCAACACACGCTACACACGCTGCACACGCTACACACGCTACACACACACAGCCGCCGCACGCGCGCGCCCGCGCCGCACTCGTCCACGTCGCGGCACGTGCGCCCGTCCGCGCGCAGCGCCCACCCCTCCCTGCGCACGCGCACGCTCAACACACGCTACACACGCTGCACACGCTACACACGCTACACACACACAGCCGCCGCACGGCCGCGCGCCCGCGCCGCACTCGTCCACGTCGCGGCACGTGCGCCCGTCCGCGCGCAGCGCCCACCCCTCCCTGCGCACGCGCACGCTCAACACACGCTACACACGCTGCACACGCTACACACGCTACACACACACAGCCGCCGCACGCGCGCGCCCGCGCCGCACTCGTCCACGTCGCGGCACGTGCGCCCGTCCGCGCGCAGCGCCCACCCCTCCCTGCGCACGCGCACGCTCAACACACGCTACACACGCTGCACACGCTACACACGCTACACACACACAGCCGCCGCACGGCCGCGCGCCCGCGCCGCACTCGTCCACGTCGAGGCACGTGCGCCCGTCCGCGCGCAGCGCCCACCCCTCCCTGCGCACGCGCACGCTCAACACACGCTACACACGCTGCACACGCTACACACGCTACACACACACAGCCGCCGCTCGTCCGCGCGCCCGCGCCGCACTCGTCCACGTCGCGGCACGTGCGCCCGTCCGCGCGCAGCGCCCACCCCTCCCTGCGCACGCGCACGCTCAACACACGCTACACACGCTGCACACGCTACACACGCTACACACACACAGCCGCCGCACGGCGCGCGCGCCCGCGCCGCACTCGTCCACGTCGCGGCACGTGCGCCCGTCCGCGCGCAGCGCCCACCCCTCCCTGCGCACGCGCACGCTCAACACACGCTACACACGCTGCACACGCTACACACGCTACACACACACAGCCGCCGCGCGCGCGCCCGCGCCGCACTCGTCCACGTCGCGGCACGTGCGCCCGTCCGCGCGCGCGCCCACCCCTCCCTGCGCACGCGCACGCTCAACACACGCTACACACGCTGCACACGCTACACACGCTACACACACACAGCCGCCGCACGCGCGCGCCCGCGCCGCACTCGTCCACGTCGCGGCACGTGCGCCCTTCCGCTCGCAGCGCCCACCCCGACCTGCTCACGCGCACGCTGATCAGACGCGACAGCCGCTGAACACGCTACACACGCTACACACACACAGCCGCCGCACGCGCGCGCCCGCGCCGCACTCGTCCACGTCGCGGCACGTGCGCCCGTCCGCGCGCAGCGCCCACCCCTCCCTGCGCACGCGCACGCTCAACACACGCTACACACGCTGCACACGCTACACACGCTACACACACACAGCCGCCGCTCGCCCGCGCGCCCGCGCCGCACTCGTCCACGTCGCGGCACGTGCGCCCGTCCGCGCGCAGCGCCCACCCCTCCCTGCGCACGCGCACGCTCAACACACGCTACACACGCTGCACACGCTACACACGCACACACACACACAGCCGCCGCACGCCGCGCGCCGCGCGCCGCACTCGTCCACGTCGCGGCACGTGCGCCCGTCCGCGCGCAGCGCCCACCCCTCCCTGCGCACGCGCACGCTCAACACACGCTACACACGCTGCACACGCTACACACGCTACACACACACAGCCGCCGCACGGCCGCGCGCCCGCGCCGCACTCGTCCACGTCGCGGCACGTGCGCCCGTCCGCGCGCAGCGCCCACCCCTCCCTGCGCACGCGCACGCTCAACACACGCTACACACGCTGCACACGCTACACACGCTACACACACACAGCCGCCGCACGGCCGCGCGCCCGCGCCGCACTCGTCCACGTCGCGGCACGTGCGCCCGTCCGCGCGCAGCGCCCACCCCTCCCTGCGCACGCGCACGCTCAACACACGCTACACACGCTGCACACGCTACACACGCTACACACACACAGCCGCCGCACGGCCGCGCGCCCGCGCCGCACTCGTCCACGTCGCGGCACGTGCGCCCGTCCGCGCGCAGCGCCCACCCCTCCCTGCGCACGCGCACGCTCAACACACGCTACACACGCTGCACACGCTACACACGCTACACACACACAGCCGCCGCACGGCGCGCGCGCCCGCGCCGCACTCGTCCACGTCGCGGCACGTGCGCCCGTCCGCGCGCAGCGCCCACCCCTCCCTGCGCACGCGCACGCTCAACACACGCTACACACGCTGCACACGCTACACACGCACACACACACACAGCCGCCGCACGGCGCGCGCGCCCGCGCCGCACTCGTCCACGTCGCGGCACGTGCGCCCGTCCGCGCGCAGCGCCCACCCCTCCCTGCGCACGCGCACGCTCAACACACGCTACACACGCTGCACACGCTACACACGCTACACACACACAGCCGCCGCACGGCGCGCGCGCCCGCGCCGCACTCGTCCACGTCGCGGCACGTGCGCCCGTCCGCGCGCAGCGCCCACCCCTCCCTGCGCACGCGCACGCTCAACACACGCTACACACGCTGCACACGCTACACACGCTACACACACACAGCCGCCGCACCCCCGCGCGCACGCGACGCACTCGTCCACGTCGCGGCACGTGCGCCCGTCCGCGCGCAGCGCCCACCCCTCCCTGCGCACGCGCACGCTCAACACACGCTACACACGCTGCACACGCTACACACGCTACACACACACAGCCGCCGCACGGCCGCGCGCCCGCGCCGCACTCGTCCACGTCGCGGCACGTGCGCCCGTCCGCGCGCTGCGCCCAACCCTCCCTGCGGACGCTGACGCTCAACACACGCTACACACGCTGCACACGCACACGCTACACACGCTACACACACACAGCCGCCGCACGCGCGCGCGCCCGCGCCGCACTCGTCCACGTCGCGGCACGTGCGCCCGTCCGCGCGCAGCGCCCACCCCTCCCTGCGCACGCGCACGCTCAACACACGCTACACACGCTGCACACGCTACACACGCTACACACACACAGCCGCCGCACGGCCGCGCGCCCGCGCCGCACTCGTCCACGTCGCGGCACGTGCGCCCGTCCGCGCGCAGCGCCCACCCCTCCCTGCGCACGCGCACGCTCAACACACGCTACACACGCTGCACACGCTACACACGCTACACACGCTACACGAACACAGCAGCGGACCGACCCTCCACCCTTGGGGGACACCCACTTTTAAACCAGTTCCTTTTAATCTTGTCGTTTCATTTATACAATTTATTCTCTATTTTGAAAGGAGAAACGATTGAGCTTGAGACACTATATTAATTAAGTTAATTCAAAATATCGAATATTCTGTACGATCAAATGCTTTTAAAAAATCCAAAAAAATTGAAAACTTGACGTTTAACATTTGCATCGATGTAATTATCAAAAACAAATCCATACAATTGTCTATATCCATTAAATTATTCGACTAAAAAAAAGAGTACCCAGTTAACAATACGTACATATTTAACTTTACAGAAACGGGACCAAAATATGATCCTTGATGGACGCCTATTTTTAAAGCAACTTCTTTTATTTTTGCAATTTCATTTCCACTGTTTATTTTATAATTTAAAAGCATGTCAATTGGAATATAGCTAGCTAGCGATATATACAATCGAATGCTTTCGAGAAATCTCAATAAAATCACGTTTAATAAATTGCTCCCATACCAGTGTACTCACCCGCTTTAATGATTTACTCACTCACTTTACGCACAATTATGTCATGTATACATTAAACACTATGTAAACTTAACATTATATGCAGTAATATTTTCTGAGACAGACCTGCATTTACAGTAGTAGGAGCCGGGCGTGTTGACACACTCGTGCTGGCAGCGTGTGGAGTCCTCACTACACTCGTCGATGTCCTCGCAGTGCGACTTCACAGTGGTCTGAGCATAGCCCTCATCGCACACACACTGATACGTGCCCATGAGGTTCTCACACGCACCGTTACTGCAGATACCTGGTACGTGTCACACCAGTATAGTAACAATATTTCTTCTATTAACAAAACACGCCTAAAGAAGTTATCTTGCACCATAAATTTTAGAAGACATGAGAATTGGTTTTAGTGCGACTGTAGTCTATGGTACAGAGTATTTACCACAGCAGCATCAAGTATCTGTGAAATTATTTTCAACCTTACAAATTCTTCTTCTTCTTCCTACCCGAATCCCAATTATTATATGGGGTCGGCGTAATATGTGTTTTATCCATATTACAAAAAGATTTGGTAATTAATTTTAATATTTTAATTTTACGACCAGCCGCCTGCCTGATGTCAACCCTCTTTGGGAATATATATATATATATATATATATATATATATATATATATATATATATATATATATATATATATAAGATTAATCAGTTTCTTCCTGTATAATGTTCCTTAATGTATAATTATGAAAGAAACAAGCCGAAAAAAAACGACAAAGCCACATACCAGAAGTAATGGAGCATTCGTCAATGTCCTTGCAGGAAAGCCGGTCCGGTGCTAGTTCCATGCCGTCGCCGCACTCGCAGCGGAACGAGCCAGGTGTGTTGATACAGCGCCCGCCACGGCACAGGCTTGGCGTCTCTTCGCACTCGTCGATATCTAGCGAAAAAAAAATGACATTTGATATTAGAACTTCAAAACGGTCCAAAATTATATCAGATGAAGGAATAAGTATATGGCACCGTTCCTTTTAACCACTAAGATGACGAGAAACAATTAGAGGAACCTAGCACAGTATCTTCTACCCGTAATAATAACGTATAAATACTGAAGCTTAACAATTTTATTTATGAAGTAAACGCAGATTGAGTACATCAATCTGAAAAATGAATGTAAAATGATGATGACTCCAACATTTTTTTTTTATTTTTATTTGTGTTTAAGATACAAAGAGTGATGCATATTTAATCAATTCATGTAGTTACTAACAGACCTTGCAGTACCTTAATAGAATATAAAGTAGCTATAAATTGGTTTCAATAATTATAAGTCATTCAGAATAGCAAAATACAGATAATGTTCACTAATTATTAAGCTCATACAGTAATTTTGCTGCCTTAAATTTGAAACCTATATGAAACACCGTGTGGTCCCGGCATAGAATATGCCACCCCTTTCTTTCCTGTGAGTGTCGTAAGTGGCGACTAAGGAAGAGCGAGGGGTGGGCAGCAACGTTTCTCTTAAAACATCTCTAAATCCTGACTGCGGTTGCCAATCTGCTTATACGCCAAGCGTGGCTATTTCTGGCAAAACCCTCCAAGGGGGAGACTTATGCTCAGCAGTGGAAAGTAAAAACTAATACGATGTTGATGATAAATATGTCAAATCTACTGAACTTGTTGTATAAATTTAAAAAATACTACTCACCAACGCAAACCTTGGAGAGTTCGCTGGACCTGTGACCAGGGTGGCAGTGGCACGTGAAGCTGCCCTCTGTGTTTCTACAGTCGCCGGCCCCACACACGTCGTTCACAATCTCGCACTCGTTCACGTCGACACAGGTTTGGTTCTTAGGGCCCTGCATAATATAACAAACAAGCTCCTAGAGATACTTACACAGCGAATAAACAATGGTCTCGTTGTTATAAAACACAAAGTTATTTATACCGTAACAATCGGAGAAATAATACCAATGAACGATTTCTCTCTGTATTAATTTTAATTCAAAATTATAAAATCTTGATCTTGAATCTACTTCAAAAGCTTTATGTTTTAATGTAATAAATAACGATTTAACCTACGTATAATTTGGTCGAGAAAGCTCAACTAGTTTTTATATTAAAATACATTGTGTGCTTACAAAACTTTAAAATTAAAAACTTTATGGTCCGCAAGTTACAACCCGAAGTTTCTTCTAACTTACCTTCTCATATCCTCGGTAGCAATCGCAAGTAAAAGAGCCCATCAAATTCCTGCAACGTCCGTGGCCGCACAGTCCGGGGAAGGCGGAGCACTCGTTGACCTCCATATGGCCAGGATCAAAGTGATGATCCCCGGGACCCCAAATGGTGCTATCGTTGAACGGGTGGCCTTCGCCGTCGAAGTCTGGCAAGTTGTGTTCCCCGCCATACGATGGGAAGTCGAAGAAATCCCCGATGCTGGATCTGTTGCCGCCGTGTGAGGGTCGCACGCCCGTCATGTCGGGACCGATCACGTCCGATGTACACAGGTTGCGGTATGCATCTGTGCCTGCAAATTATTTTCAATAAAAGGTGAACAAAAATATATCCTCTCTAATAGTAGATTGTAGATGCCACAAATGTTACTAGTTGCGAATACGACTTTCCCACTTTGAAGAAACTTTTTAAATGCATAGATCATATACATGAAGCATTCAGTGTCCAAGATTATCTATCTACCTATCCTATTTAAGAGCTGCGCTCTTGTCGGTGGAGCTCTTGCCACTCACTACGATTTTCAGCGAGTCTCTTCACCTCTTGATACGACACGACACCAACTCCTTCCTTGATCTGCCTGATGCCGCGGTCTCCCTCTCCCCCTCCTTCCTTCTATCTTACCTTCTATTATAATGTTCATAAGTCCGTCATGTCGTATCAAGTGTCCCAACATTTTTTCAAAGATTTATAAAACAGTATTGTGGCCAAGAGCCAGTTCCAAAATTTATTAATAAATAATATATTAATGTTTTGAGAAATATTTGCAGGATGTGTGGTCAAGTGAGTGAATGTGTGATACCTTTCTTGGGGCAGGGTTCGCAGCGCGAGTCGCCCCAGGCGCGGCCGAGCGCTGAGCAGCAGCAGACGGCGCGGTGCACCTCGCGCAGCGCTCCCGAGCAGCGCCCGCCCGAGTACTCCGTGTAGCAGTACTCGCGCCGCGTGTCCATGCACTTGTTGCCTGCGCCGCGCAACACACCACCTCACCACCTCACCACGTGCCACCACGCGCCACCACGCGCCACCACGCGCCACCACGCGCCCCCGGCGCGGGACTAACCCTCCCGCACTTGGGGGTGTCCATTCAAATATGGAACACTACCAGAAGCAATTGTGCTTGCATTACTGCGTTTCGGTTTGAAGATTATAGGGTACACAGGCGTACCACCTCAGTCCTCACGAATGGCAACGCACGAAGAGTATCATGGGCGACAGAGTATATTCTGTTACGTCCATGGTACTGTTCGCGTCTATAGGCGACGATTAGCACTTTACATCTGGTAGAGCATCAGCTTGTTTACCGTTTTCTAATTTGCATAAAAAAAGATTCTGATAAAAAATACTATTTTGTTTTTATTTTAAAAACACATATCATCGTTGACCAACTTGAAAATATAGAGTTCAAAATATATCATGTTATTAGACTTTATAAAACTAAACTAATCTTTAAAAGATTCATGTAATTTCGATTGCTTGGGTACCTCTGTCCCATTCGTGTTTCAATCGTGAAGCAGTTGTGTTTGCATGGCTGTGTTTCTATTTTATATGGCGTGAATTTACTGGGTACAGAGGAATAACACCTGAGTCCTCAGGAATGGCGACGTATGGGGGTATCATGGGCGAAACAGTATACTCTGTTATGTCCATGATACTGCTCAGGTCTATAGGCGACGGTTACCACTTTCCATCAGGTGAGCCGTCAGCTTGCTTGCTATTCTAAGTTGTATAAAAAAAATATTAGTAGAAATTGTATGGAATAATGTGGTCACCGGTGGAGTCGAGCGTGAGGCCGGGCGGGCAGCGGCAGTGGTAGGAGCCGTCCGTGTTCACGCACTGCCCGCCCACGCACAGCTCGGGGTCCAGCTTGCACTCGTCCACGTCGCGGCACGTCGTGCCGTCGATCTATACACACAGACAAACGAACGAACATTTCAATGACGAATTCATTCATCTTTACTAGCCGTTTACTAGCCACTGAACTTGTGGGAGAGATTTTTCTCCCATAAGGGAGTGTGTTGCCAGTAGTTGCCACGCTTGGCATACAGGTTGGCAATAGCAGTTAGGCTTCGGTGATGTTTTAAGAGGGGCAAATTAAATAACGAATACTTATGGGTATTTTAAATATTACAGTATTTTGTTACATTTATCAAATAAAAAATGTAACACAAAAGAAAAAGACAAAAGATCTGAATGAATGGATAATTTTGTCTTTTTAAAAAACATAGGGGGTAAACGAGCATGCGGCTCACCTGATGCTAAGTGACTATCGCCGCCCATGATCACCCACAACATCAACGGCATTGCAGGTGTGCTGCCGGCCTTTTAAATATATTTTCTTTTTTGTCTATAATATTTTTACCAGAAAAAGATTTTATACTGAAGTTGTGCTGGCATGGCTGTATTACGATTTAATGCAACGGTTGACAGTAAAATTACAGTATTCGATGGCATTTCAGTTACGATAAGTCCTTTCTCGTTATTCTTACATCTGGTGTTCAAAAAACAATTTTAGTCAAGAAGAACAGGCAAAAAACTCAACCGTTGTTCTTTTCAAACCAAATTTTGAATTTTACCAATTTACGATTTAAACACGACACTACAAAAAGTATCAAGTAATAAAGGCATACCTTAGCGAATCCCTTCTCGCAGGGGCAGTGGTCGGGGTCGCAGGGCTCGCAGGGCGAGCCCCAGGCCACGCCGACGCTGCAGCAGCACTCCTGGCGCAGCAGCGGCAGCGGCGCCGCCGCCTCGCAGCGCCCGTCCACCACGTGCTGCCAGCACGACCCGCGCCGGTTGTCTGTCGGTTGGCCATAACACATTTGTACACTGTGATCTCAAACTGTCTCAATGTCTTTATATTTATAATATTTACTGGAATATTATTAAACGTTCGTATACATATTATAACATTTTTTTTTTTGATAAATTGGAGTCCTAAAAATTCTATTTAATACCAGCCTATTTGGATTTCTTCTTTTTCCTTTATTAAACGAACTATAACGAGATCAACTGACGATCTCAAAATATTAAAAATAAAAAAGTAGCAAATTGTTTCACCATTCAGCTTTCCCTTATTATCATTTTTAATAGTATCACGTGACATGATATAGCTAAAGTAACAGAAATTACTTTTTTGTCAAACAACTACTTGTTAAACAAAATTTTCTTCTATTTTACCGACAATACTTGTTATTTTATAAAGTTTTTAAAATATGTACAAAAAATAGGCCCAAAATGCTTTTAAACATCGGTTTAAATATAATATCTCCTTATCTATGACACATCATCATCATCTCAGCCATTATCCGTCCACTCCCCCATAGACTGCCATAAGAACCAATCCTGAGCCACCTATATCCACCGACTCCCTGTAATGCATTTGATGTTATCACTCCATCTAGCGGGATCCTACGGTATGTTTTTCCATACAGGGTCGCCACTCAAGAAGCTTGACACATGCAAATAATGAAACGACTTACCAAGACAGTGTTGCCCGCTGGAGTCGAGCACGAACCCGTGTTCGCATTCGCACTCGTAGCTGCCGTGCGTGTTGATACAGCGTCCGTTGTCGCACGGGTTCGTTTGCTCTGCAACATGATGCGAATCGATGCGATGCGAAGCGGCACCGTGCGGCGCGATTCAACAATACAGGTAGGGCATTTGACAATGAAATCATATATTTCTTACTAATCCACGAAAGTGGCAGCATATAGACTGATAGTGACTTAGTAAGTCGAGGGAGTCACGTGCTATTTAAGCTAAAGTGATCCCTTCGGGGGATTCTGTCAACCTTACTCGCGAGAGGAACACAACCCTACCAAAGTAGAGTCATACCACTACAGTTCTCTGTAAGATTACCTCAAACAGTCAAACAGGTTTAACGGTTTTCAAAGGAGAATTTAATTATGCTCTCTTTCTTACATTACTTTCATTAGTAAAATATAAATAATTAATTTAATATAATCTTTTATTACATTTACATAATTCAAAAGGAAAGTTTAGTATACTAAGCTGCAAGTCAGCGATCAGTAAATACAAATTTTCATATTTTTTCAATAATTTCAGTACTATTTAATCGATCAAATTCAATGCATATAAAATATCATGACCATCATCATATCAGCTCCAACCGTCCACTGCTGAACATAAGCCTCCCCCTGGGGGGGTTTTGCCAGTACTAGCCCCGCTTGGCAGACAGATTGACAAACCGTAGTAAGGCTTTTGAGATGTTTTAAGAGGGTCGCTACTGCCAATCCCTCGCCCTCCTTAGTCGCCTTTTACGACACCCACGAGAAAGGAAGGGGTAGCCTATTCTATGCCGGGACCACACGGCGGATATAAAATATATTAATAGATTATTACATTAGTTAAAATGAATATAATAAAGCGGTGCAATGGTTGAATCGCGTGAAGGTTGAGTGAGTTTTTATAATAGATTGATTGATTGATTACTGACAGATCGAAACTGATTGAACAGCATTAACTGTGGTACATGTGGTAAACACGCCAAAGCACGTCAGTGTCATAGAGTACGCCAACTACACATGTTGACTTACACGGTGTCAGTATCGATAAGGTGAGTGAATGGGAAACAGAGAGAAATATAACGTCACATCCTAAGGTTGCCTGCAAGAGATCACTATTTAGCGATAAGGTCGCATATTGTTGGGACTTTATCTTGTTTTTATAGATAGATAGATAGATGATTTATTTACATTACTTACAGCACACAAATTACATAAAAAAAACATACACATAATACACAGTAAAAGAAATAAAAGAATGAAAATAAAAAAGCACAGATAAAAAAACAAAAAAAACAAAATATATAAACTAACAATCTCCTTTCTTTCCCTTCCTTCATGCGTGTGCCATAGTAACACAAAATAGTCACAGCTCAGTTTATTGCTTTGCCCTTAAAAGAGCAAAACACTGACATTCTGCTGTGGCCAAGAGTCAGTCGCGAAACTCCTCATTAAAAATAACAATAAAAAGAAATATAAATAAACTGCAGTGTATGTGTCCATTACATTCGCCTCCATTTGATATTATATTCTAAATAAATAAATAAATAACAGATACCATTAGATGAGGGGTAGTCAGAGATCACTTTCTATCACATTCAGGTATTAATGTAATTAAGTATTTATTTTATTGGTATACATTAGTAATTACTCCTCTCCATCCAAAGCTGGCCTTGAAGAGATCGCTCTTAGCGATAAGGTCGCCCATTGTTTTCTCATTGTGATTATTTCTTGTAATTATTTATATTTATAATAAGTTTACTATTGTAATCTTTTGGAGGAAACAATAGAGAGTATCTATCTATCTATCTACATATTGTTAATCTTTATCGTTCTTTGAAGAGAACAATATAGTTTTCATTCATTCATTCATTCATTCATTCATTCACAGCTACTTCTACTGATCATTTGTATAGTTGTATTTTTTTTTATTTATTACAACTTTGTAAATATTAGTGTAATATAATACATACTATACAAGCTATGTTTAGTATATATACCAGAAAGATGGCTGGCAAACCAGCAATAATACACAGCGCTATAGTCTGCAGCTAGATGGCGCTGTGCAATTAGTTTACTAATTTATTTACATATTTGACTACCACTACACTTAGTGTGTTTGCTGGAACGCATTACGTCATAAGATGTATATTTTTTTATACTACGAATGTGGCAAACAAGCATTTAGCTCGTCTGATGGTAAACGGTCACTGTAGCCTATGGACGTCTGCAATACTAGGGATGGGGGGAAAGGGATTGTTAGTAATGGAGACTGAGAGTCCCATTGCTAGCAATATACCCAACCAGATCGACATCCTCGAGGTTCTCCCTGGAAATTATCATGGTTAATTCCTGATGAATTCATCAACTGGCCTGTTTTCATTCTCATCTATCACCCTTCACTGGTGCTCCGCCAGCATATCCCGTTAGCGCAGGCGGGGTTACCATACCATTTACACCCATCAAAAAAAAATACTAGGGATGTCACGTGCACGTTGCCGACTCTGAAGAAACCTAAATATACCCTTTTTAAAGATAAACTTTGAATTTATTTAAATTTATTTAAAATCTATTAGGTTATGACTCCCGTATTTTGCAAAAACTTATATAGTTTCCTACATAGATAGATGATGTAATGATCAATCATCGTAATTGATCGGTCACTGACACAGCTGTAGCAACATGCGTGGCCGGGCCGCGATCGATTGGCCGAGTGTTAAAAGCCAATGAGATGTCTGTGGTTACTGGATGCTGGTACACTCAAAGTGTGGTAACCTGGTATGGCCGGGTACATGGGCGGTATGTCCCCGCGGTCATCATAATCTCTGACGATGAAAATAACCTCACCCTCGCATTCGTCTATGTCTCGGCAGATCTGTTCGTCGGGCTCGAAGCGAGTGCCCGCCGGGCAAACGCATGTGAAGCTGCCCATTGTATTGCGACACTGCCCCCCAGTGCAGTACTGCAATGGACAAACGGACACCACACACAATTACAAGAACTTTTTTTTTATATACAACGTAGAATCGCAAACAAGCTGACGGCCCACCTGATGGAAAGTGGTAACCGTCGCCTATAGACATGAGCAGTACCATGGACATAACAGAGTATACTGTTTTGCCCATGATACCCCCATGCGTTGCCATTCCTGAGGACTCAGAACTGTTAAATAACATATAATGACATAATGATAATCATCAATTTAAGTAATTTATTGTCCATTAATTAATATATCTTCACAGATTGAAGAAGAGAAGAGTTCAAAACCAGATATAAGGCTAATTTTTTTCATTATATAAAAAAAAGCTACGTATTTTTTTTTTATGCAACATACAATGGCAAACAAGCTAAAGGTCCTTTAAAAAAAAACTATACTTAAACTCGTGTAACAGTTAAGCTTTTCATTTTTAAATTTTCTATCTTCATTACAATTAAAGGCCTCTGACATAACATACATACAGACTAAAAAGATTAATAAGTTTGGGCTAATATATCTTGTGATCTTCAGACCACAATCAGGCGTCCAGTTTGACGTGAATTTACTGGGTACAGAGGAATAACACCTGAGTCCTCAGGAATGGCAACGCATGGGGGGTATCATGGACGAAACAGTATACTCTGTTATGTCCATGGTACTGCTCATGTCTGTAGGCGACGGTTACCACTTTCCATCAGGTGGGCCGTCAGCTTGTTTGCCATTCTAAGTTGTATAAAAAAACAGACTAAAGATTCCTTAAAAGATGACTTAGTTACAAAGATTCAAACATTACATTACATACAAACTTTTAAATTTTTTTAAATTCTAATACGTTCAGTGAAATAAAGACATATTAAGTGTTCATTACAATTACAACAGTCCGCAAGTACCTCCGACTATCCTATTAGAAAGTATTATCACCATATCAGCCTTTAACTGTCCACTGCTGAACATAAGCCTCCCCTTGGGGGGTTTTGCCAGTAGTTGCCGTACTTAACAGGCGGATTGGCAACCGCAGTTAGATTTTGGAGATGATTTAAGAGGGACGTTACTGCCCATCCCTTGTCCTCTCTTAATCGCCTCTTACGACACCCACGGGAAAGGAAGGGGTGGCCTATTCTACGACGGGACCACACTGCCATTAGACAGTATAGTCGTAATCATATTTTACTTTTATAAAATAGCTAATGTACGAAGTTGTCTCTTACCGACTGATGCATATCACACTCGTCGATATCCCTGCATATACCATCGTCGTCAGGATGGAAACCAGTGTCGCAGATGCACTTGTAGCCGGGCTCGAGGTTCTCGCAGGTGCCGTGCGGACAGATGCCCGGCACCATGGTACACTCGTTGATGTCCGAGCCGCTGTTGTCTTTGCTGGGCCCGGACGGGCACAGGACGTCGTACTCCTCGCTGCCTTGCTCCGGACATGCTTTGCAAGACACACCCCAGCCTAGACGTAAACCTGCATGGACAGGGCAATACTGTAAGCTCTTGAAAGGAAATAAATTGTAATGTGGACTGAGAAAATTTATAAATAATGAAACTGTGACGAATACAGAAGTATTTTTGTCTTTGTAACAATGACCACATTCTCAAACATTTTATTATACAATTTCTTTCATGTACATTAATTAGGAAAACCTCTGCAGGCAGCTCATTCCATAATCTGAGTGTTCTTGGAAGGAAACATCTCTGAAACCTCGCTGTACGCGACCATTTAGGCTATAGGATATGAGGATGAACTCCTTGTCGATGGCGAGCCGTACGATGGTAGAAAGTGGCCGTGGGCATCATATTGAACAATTCTTTTGAGCACAATCCGTTGTACAAGCGGTAGAACACGCAGAGTGAGGCAAAATCTCTCCTAAGACTTAAGGGTTCGATACCGCTTGTGAGCCTGGAATCACCGACAATTCTCATAGCTCGTCGTTGAAGAGTTCAAGCTGGTACTTAGGTGCTCCCGCCCTTCTTTCAAATATAGAAACATATTTAATAAAAAAAAATCATGAGACTTCAGAACAGATCACTAGTAATACCTTTCATAATAACAAGGAGAACGGTCTTATCTCAACCAGTCTGGAACAATACCTCAGATAGTTGGAATGGCAGTTTACTTCCGGAAAAGATGCAGAAAGCAATGCTCTTGGTCACTGCCCGCATAGTATACCAGTTTCTCTCCCTGTGACCCTGAACCCTGGCCGACTGTACTTCTACCGAGGGTTACTTTCCCTTCTCCCCTCTTAAGGTAGAGAAATGTGAATCTTTAAATAATAATAGTAGTATAACGTACCTTTGCTTGAACTGCAGCAGCACTGCGACCGCGTGACCGGCGTAGTGCCTGGGCCAGTACAATGGTCTTCTTCGTATTTCTCATAGCACAAGTCTTGAACCTCGTCTGTAAATAACCATGGGACTATTTAGTTACTTTCGGTCAAGTAGGCATAAGCGTCGTTTCTATGAGGCCTGGATGAGATTGAGGTTAAAGGTGGAGTGACTGAGTGTTTTTATTGTAGTTCACTTGAAAATTAAAGTGAGGATAATGTAATTGTGACTTCAAACATTAGGCTGAAGATGAGTAGAGAAGAAGATGAGAGTATGATTGTGTGATTATATGTAAGTAAATGTATGAGAGATGGATGAAGGTAAGAGTTAGACAATATATTGACAATAGTATGGGAATGAGAGAGAATGTAAGGGAAAAACTAACTGTGACTGAATTTAAGATTTAAGATTAGAGTCAGAACGATGATAAATGTTATGTCCATGGTACTGTTCATGTGTATAGGCGACGGTTACCACTTTCCATTAGGTGGGACGTCAGCTTATTTGCCATTCTAAGTTGTATAAAAAAATATGTGATTGTAAGAGAGAGTGCAGAGAGAGAAGTGAGAGTGAAAGTGTGGAATTGAAATTGGTTGGAGGATTACTCACTTTAAAATGAGGATGAGAAGTATTTTGAAAAAAGCATTAAATTTATTAGAATGAGGATAAATGTGAATAAAAGCAAATATTGCGATGAGGTGAGACAGGGTGAGGCGAGATGAGGTGAGGTGATAGGAGGTGAGGTAATAGGAGGTGAGTTGAGGTGAGGTGAGGGGAGGTGAGATGAGGCAAGTTGAGGTGATGTGAGGCGAGGCGAGCTCGGCTCGGAGGCGGGGTACGCACCGAGGCAGGAGCGGCCGTCGGCGGCCAGCGTGAAGCCGGGCAGGCAGCGGCAGCGGAAGGAGCCGGGCGTGTTGCGGCAGCGGCCGTTGCGGCACACGCGCTGCTCGGCGCACTCGTCCACGTCGACGCAGGCGCCGCGCGCGGCCGTGGGCCGGAAGCCCGCCTCGCACACGCACTGGAACGAGCCCTCGCTGTTGGCGCAGCGGCCGCCGCGGCACGCCGCCTCGTCCGCGCACTCGTCCACGTCGGCGCAGTAGCCGCCCGGGTTCAGCTCGAAGCCGGGCTCGCACTGGCAGTCGTAGCCGCCGGCCGTGTTGCGGCAGCGGCCGCGCCGGCACACGCCCGGGTTGTCGCGGCACTCGTCCACGTCGCGGCACGCGTGCCCCGTCTCCGTCGACTCGTAGCCCGGGTTGCAGATGCACTCGTATCTGACGCCATACATCTCCGTATAAATATTCAATCAACTGATCAATATGTCCAGCCATCAGTCGGTCGACAAATCGATACATTGGTTTATCACTTAATTGTTAATACATTAAATCGATCGATTGACAAATACATTATGTTAGATATGTAAGTATAAAAATAGTTATAATTGAGGTAGGTACTTTAATATATTGTATGTGTCAATCGCGCAATAAACGGAGTAATAAACACACGGGTTTTATTTATCACATTAATAAATCAATTGATTTATCGCTCAAATAATAAGTCCATCAATCAATTAACTAGTAGTTTCAATTTTTCTTCTTTTATTTCAAAATTGATTGATGAAATAATTAATTTAACTGATCATTATATAATGAATCAATCACAAAGGGAGGGACCGCAGAGGGAGACTTTGTACAAAAGTCGATTGCTTGAGTACCTCTGTCCTATTCGTGTTTCAACCGTGATACAGTTGTGTTTGCATGACTGTGTTTTGGTTTGAAGGGTGGGATATGGCGTGAATTTACTGGGTACAGAGGAATAATACCTGAATCCTCAAGAATGGCAACGCACGGGAGGTATCATGGGCGAAACAGTACTCTGTTATGTCCATAGTACTGCTCATGTCTGTAGGCGACGGTTACTACTTTCCATCAGGGGGACCGTCAGTTGTATAAAAAAATCTGACTTGGACCATCTATTTTTCACTTTTGTGCGCAATAAAGTATTTATTACTATATTATTATACATATATATATATATCTAACTTAATTATATATATATATATATATATATATATATATATATATATATATATATATATATATATATATATATATATATATATATATATATATATATATGGAGGAAGCGAAATAGATTTAATCTGAACATTTGGCGTACCCCAATGGGAGACAGACAGATACGTTATATTATTAGACTTTAAACCTCATTTTAAATATGCAGTATCAATCTGTATGGCCACTCACCCGTCCTCGCCGTTGCTGCAGACGCCGTTGGTGCACATACCGCCGTTGGTCATCTCGCACTCGTTCTGGTCGCTGCACCGCAGACCGTTCTCGACAGGGTCGAAACCCGGTGCACACCTGTACAACATCAGGGAAACATTTTTAGTAGGAGTATAAACTATTTGAAATTGTTACAATGTTGAAAGTATTTTAATATTTAAATTTTTGGGTCAGAGGGTAATAGCAACACTTTATCTCTCTAATGGTATCTGTTATTTATTTATTTAGAATATAATATCAAATGAAGGCGAATATAATGGACACATACACTGCAGTTTATTTATATTTCTTTTTATTGTTATTTTTAATGAGGAGTTTCGCGACTGACTCTTGGCCACAGCAGAATGTCAGTGTTTTGCTCTTTTAAGGGCAAAGCAATAAACTGAGCTGTGACCATTTTGTGTTGCTATGGCACACTTGTTGGTTTATATATTTTGTTTTTTTTTTTTTGTTTTGTCACTTTTTTATTTTCATTCTTTTATTTCTTTTACTGTGTATTATGTGTATGTTTTTTTTTTATTGTAACTTGTGTGCTGTAAGTAATGTAAATAAATCATCTATCTAAAAATATCTTGAAAATTTTCTCTTATCTCTGACAAAACCAAAAATATTTTGGTTTTGATAATATTTTATCTATTCAAATCTTTTCACAAACACTAAATTAGCACCCAAATTTTATGTTTTTTCTTTTCTTGTTTTTATGAATTTTTCATTTTTATCTTTAGCATTTTTCTCATTATTACCGTAAGAGGCGACTAAAGAGGGCGACGTATGAATAGAAGCGTCTCTCTTAAAACATTTCCAAAGCCTAACTGCAGTTGCCAATTCGCCTGGCACGCATGGTAACTTTTGGCAAAACCTCCCTAGGGAGAGGCTTACGTTCAGCAGTGGACAGTTACAAGCTGACATGATGCTCATGATGACAGATACTGTGAGAGGAGCAGTAAAAACAGTACAGACCTGCACTCGAAGCCGCCGGGCTTGTTGACGCAGGTGCCGCCGCGGCAGTAGCCGAGCGCGCACTCGTCGATGTCGATGCACGTCGGGTTGCCCTCGTTCTCCGTCTCCTCCGCGCCGTCCCAGCACTCGCACTGGTAGCTGGCACGTGCATATATTTTTTAAATTTTAATACACCTTTTAACCGACAATCAATACTCAACACGTATTTAAAACTTGGCAGTATAGACTTTGATCTTAGCCTATAAGGAACGAATGTACCATAAACAAACCAAAGTAGTACCAAAGTTAGTACCAAACTATAATAAAACTATAATTTATATATATATACGTCGCCTATAGACATGATCAGTACCATGAACATAACATAGTATACTGTTTTACCCATGATACCCCCAAAGCGTTGCCATTCCTGGGGACTCAGGTGTTATTCCTCTGTACCCTGTAAATTCACGCCATATTCCACCCTTCAAACCGAAACACAGCCATGCAAACACAACTGCTTCACGGTTAAAACACGAATGGGACAAAGGTACCCAAGCAATCGACTTTTGTACAAAGTCTCCCTCTCATTTTCTTGCTTGTCTTATTTATTTATTTATATGCTATTGTACATTCACTTATTGTGCATTCATTTATTATTAAAAATAAACTTGGATCATACCCGACATCTTTGTCGACGCAGTCGCCGAGCCCGCAGATGCCGTTCCTGAGCATGCACTCGTTGATCTTGGCGAGCGGCGGCGGCGCGCCGGCCCCGCCGCCGCCGTTGCCGCCGCCGCCGCCGACCAATTCGCCGCCGTCGCCGTCCTCGCCGCCGTGGGTGCCGGTCTGGTTCCGCCGCCAGATCGGCGGGATGATGCCCCCGCCGCACAGGTGCGTCCATTCCACTGTTCACATCCATTCAGTACAAAATAAATAATAAAAAATTTTGATACATTTGTTACGGGTGCAAACCCCTTCCAAACCATACAACAACATACCAATACATATTGCACAATAGCTGTTCCCACCATACAAATTCCCAGAAAGAATGAAGACATGCTTTACAAAGAAAATTTATAAAAGGGAATACGACAGGGCAGTGAGAGGCCAGTATGTTTATATACTTGTATACATCTCTACTGTGCGCAATAAAGAGTTTATTATTATTTTTTTAAATTTTACTAAAATTCTCATTGAATTGTTTATTTCTCAGCTTTTAGCGCTGGTAAATATACTACACTTACGGCTACGTGACCAAGTGAGTGCTGTGTGTATGTTTGTATGGAAGGTTATGCTTGTGTATGACGGGTGGCTACTTCATCCTCATCTACCATATATCTAAGAATTTTCTGACTATTCTGCAAGTATTTAATATGGCAGCCTTTTGTAGGGAGATGTAAAGGTTTTTTCGTAGACCTATTTGTTTTAGACTATGGTGTAAATGGTTGGGAATGACACCTGTAGATGAGAGGACTATCGGTACTATGTAAACTTATTATTATTATTATTATGTTATAAGTCGCGAACGTGCGGTGTATATTTTAGGAATCAATCACGATTCATACATATAACTAATTTTCTATAATTACTAATGTTAAATAAAGACTCTGTGTTAAATTATATTAAACGACATTGTGAACTTGTTAAGTATTCGTTTTTTTAAAAAAAAACCTATCACCGACCGTCAGAACGTAATTCATTATAAAACATATTTATAATAATAACAATAATATTTATTTAATTAGACTACATAAGGCCCATTTTGTTAGTTACAAATTGACTTAACCTATGTTAGTAAATGAGCGGTCATAACGCTCTTACATTGATAACCTGTCCCACCCAATATTTTAGGATGGGACATTTTATCAGCAATTGTCTTCAGGACACTGTTTGAGCTAACACGCGCCCTACCCAACAGCGAAACAATTCGTTTGCGTCGTATTGCGTAAAAATCATCTGTACGCTCCCGTGCAAACATGTGTGACGCACTACAGTGACTAGGTAGCCCCAACAGTGCCCTATTTATAATAGTAAAAAAAATAATAACAAATGTGGTATCAACACAAAACAATGGGAGTGAATTGATTGCAAAAGATATATTATAAAATCGATATGCTAAATAGTCGAAAATTACGAGTATAACATCTAATGTCCTTTTTCAAGCCAAATAGTGGTAAATTAAAAAAAAAAAAGAAACTAATAACCATTTACATTAATAATATTAGGAAAGATAAATAGAAAATATATTAGTTTATTCATATAATCATTAATTCGTTTCATATTTAATTCATTCAATCATTTTATTAAATAATATGTAATTAATTTTATCTTCCAATCGTTAATTCATTCTTGTTAGAGGTAACGTATGATAAAAGATGGTGTCATAACATCCTAATCTTTTTTTCTTTTTTCACATTGCTTTTGTGTCTTTTGCTGTTTGTGTGCTGTAAGTTATGCAAATAAATTATCTATCTATCTATCTATCTATCTAATCATCAGGTTAACACATTAGTGACACCACGAGAATCACAGTGAATGCTGTGATATGCGTGGTGCTGTTCATATCTATATCCGACGGTTACCACTTTCCGTTAGTTTGTTTGCCATTCTTTGCATCATAAAAAAATACGTTCTTTCATTCATTTAATGAATTGTTTATTCGCTAATTACACATGTCGATAGGTAACGATTTTTTTTGGGTGATTTTGATGGGTAAAAATGGTATGGTAACCCCCGCCTGCGCTAACGGGATACGCTGGCGGAGCACCAGTGAAGGGTGATAGATGAGAATGAAAACAGGCCAGTTAGCCCATCATGATGAATTCATCAGGAATTAACCATGATAGTTTCCAGGGGGAACCGCGAGGAGGTCGACCTGGTTGGGTATATTGCTAGCAATGGCATTTTAATAGGCAACGATTTCCACTTGTTAATATCATCATCTTCGTCAGCTTGTTTGCATAATTGTCTATTCGCTCGTTCACTCATTGGTTAATGATTCAGTAAGGCGGTACTGACCGGAGCCGCGCGGCGGGCAGGGCTGGCAGAGGTCGCCCCAGGCGCGGCCCATGTTGTAGCCGCAGCAGCAGTCGCGGTTGGACAGCGGCATGGCCAGCGGGTCCGCGCACTCGCCCGTCTCGCTCAGGTACGAGAAGCACGTGCGCACGCGCCCGTCTGCCGACCGGCGTACAACATACAGCGTCAAACAAATCATTTATTATTATAAAAACTGATCAAAATTTATTGAAATTAAAATGAAGAGATCGCTCTTAGCGATAAGGCCGCCCATTGTTTTCTCATTGTGATTATTTCTTGTAATTATTTATATTTATAATAAGTTTACTATTGTAATCTTTTGGAGGAAACAATAAAGACTATCTATCTATCTACTAAAGTGACATTTTGCTGATTGAATTTTGACATATATTTTTTTAAACATTTACAAAAATTTAAACTGTTATATTTCAAAAAACCAACAAATCTCTATATTTAACCGAAGATCGACTCACCGATACAAAACTTCTTATCTGGACTTGGGATGAAGTGCGGGTTACAGAGACAGTAGTAGTCGCCCTCGGTGTTCACACATTTGCCGTTCTAAAAAATAATGTTACGGATTAGACCGAATGTTACTACAGTACATCATCAACATAAGCCTCCCCCTTGGGGGGTTTTGCTAGTAATTGCCATGCTTGGCAGGCGGGTTGGTAACCGGAGTCAGGCTTTAGAGATGTTTCAAGAGGGACGCTGCTGCCCATCCCTCATAATAAGTATACTGTAGTGTACTTACTATTATTTCTACAGCGATACCAGGGGTATTGCTATAACGAGCCTCCATTAATTGGATTATTCATAATAAGGTATGGTTCCAGGTGGTGGCATGCAGCCTGTTCTTCTGTACCGGAGCGAGTTAACATTATTTCCTGGCTTTAATTCCGTATCACACGTATTCGGTTTGAAGGGCAGTTGCATGGCAGCAGTTGATATGGCAGTGAATTTACAGGGTACAAAGGAATAACATCTGAGTGCTCAGGAATGGCAACTTAGGGGGGTACCATGGGCGAAACAGTTTACTCTGTTATGTCCATGGTACTGCTCATGTCTATAGGCGACGGTTACCACTTTCCATCAGGTGGGCCGTCAGCTTGTTGGCCATTCTAAGTTGTATTAAAAAAATCACTGTCCATGTCACTGTCACAAGTCTCTACCTAAAATTCTTCTTCGTGATTTACTCCAACCAGAAGTTGAAGAACATGGGAGTTGAGTGTTTTTAAGGCTAGTACGCTAGGGAGCTAAGCTATGCGTGTCCATCCTAGAAATTGGTAACACCAATGAAATTGCCAAAGACATGTTTGATATTACATATGTACTCGTATACGCTTCGTAAGAGATCAAGCCCCTATGGGAAATAATCTCAAATACGTAAATGGCTATGCTCCAGCCAAACCACTTCCGATCTTCAGCCAGAAATACAGGTAATCACGGGTGTATTAAAGTTTCTTCAGGACCGACAACGCGCATCTGACACCTTTAGTATTGCAAGCGTCCATTGGCTACAGTGACCTTTTACCATCAGACGTGCAGTATGCTTTTTGCATTTTGCAGTTTGCCAGCTTCGTGGTCAGAAGTAGACGAATACTACTCACCGGACATATGTCGGGGTCCTCGCACTCGTCGATGTCCTCGCAGTTGTTGGAGACGGGGTGCCGCCGCTGGCCGGCCGGGCACTCGCACGAGAACGAGCCCACCGAATTGACGCAGCGCCCGCCCGTGCACAGGCCCGGCACTGCTGCGCACTCGTCTATGTCCTGAGAGCGAGTAGTTTAGAAATTAAATAACCTTCTCTACAAGGAGGAAAGGGATTTTTAATGGGGGGGGGGGGATAATGGATTGTTAAAAATTAGTAGCCCACTTGTTAACAATATACCCTGTCAGGTCGACCTCCTCACGGTTCCCCCTGGAACTATCGTGTTCTATTCCATGTGAATCCATCACGATAGGCTAACTGACCTGCCATTTCATTGTCACCTATCATCCCTCACTGGTGCTCTGCCAGCGTGTACCGTAAGTGCAGGCGGGAATACCATTCCATTATCATCCATTAAAAAAAAGGAATTTTTAGTAATAGAAATATCAATGTACACTATCAAGTCAGCCTCTATATGGTTCCTCCTGGAAACCATCTTGGTTAATTCTTTATGTTTTCGCCTCTATGGGCCAACTGACTTGTTTCATCCTCAACTATCATCTCTCACTGTTGCCCCGTAGCGTAAACCGATAGCGCAGACGGGGTTACCATTTCATTATCACCCATAAAAAAAAACACTTTCCCTACATTACCGGCTAACGTTGTTGGTGTAACAACGAGGGACAATGGATGAGGATGAAGCCACGTCACTTGGCGCCTCCTGACGAATTCACCTAGAATTAAAAACTGCATCCTGCAAATGAGTGAAAATAAAATGGTAACCCTGTCTACTACTAGTTTACACTGGCCTTCGCCAGTGAGAGATGACAGGAGAGAATGGAATCAGTTTACTTAACCTATTGCGATAAAATCATCAAGAATTAACTACGGTAGTTTCCAGGAGTTACCAGGCTTTTTATATCTAGAACAGAATTAAAGAAGATATTAGAGGCTCCTAAGCAAAAGGGGTCTAAGCATTTAGTGTATGAATCAATGAATGAAGGTTGCTGGAGTATATACCTGGCACTCCTTGGTGGCGAGGTTGCGGATGTGCCCGTGCGGGCAGTCGAGGTTGCCGCAGCGCTCGCAGGGGTGGCCCCAGGCGCGGCCCACGGTGGCGCAGCACAGCTGCTTGGTGCACACCACGCCCTCTAGCGCGCCCGTGCACAGCGCGTTCCTTGTTTCCGTGTAGCATGGCCCTGACGCACCAGACAATGTTACCAGGAACCACGCGATAAACACAAGTAAAAGTAAACGAGTACAAGCAAAAGTTCGTTTCCTAAATTATCCCGACTGTGAATCAAAAGCAGGATCACATTTATGCAAATACAATATAGACCTTACTACGCCATAGAGGTCGTCAAAAAAATTATTACGTAAACTGAGATAAAACTGTAGAATTCAGAAACCTGATCGATGCTGGCAACTTGGCCAACTAACCATTTTTAAAATCTATTTGACACTTATTTAAATACACTATCAGGACTTAATGCGATGGAAACGGATGATCATACTACGACGTGATGCAATCCACGTCGAAACGTCGGCAATAAAGAAGCTGGTAGGTATGAAAAATATTTCATCACATTATAGTGTATTTAAACATACATAAACAATACGAAAGTTTAAAATTACTCTTCTATTTTTATCTGCTTTGACATTACCTTCTGTATTGCTTTTCGGTACACACGCTCTACTACTACTCTACCTACATTCATTTTTCTTCAAGCTCACTATGACATTGTTTAATCTACGCAGATCATGAAAATTTTATCCACTTTGTTGATATAACGACTGGGCATACACAAACCACGATACTCTAAGCTCGTACCAGATCCACATAGTTAGAATAAAATGAAAACTCTTCGCATCCTAATTTGTAGCCACAGAAAAACAAACCTGGGTATTATTTACGCAATTACAAGAGACTAATACTCACCCGTTCTCCTATCAATCTCGCACCTAGTACCCGATAGTCCGTGGAAGCAGACGCACCGATCGGGCGCTATACACCGCCCGCCGTGTAAACATGGCTCGCGGCATATAGCTAGAAATAATTTAAGACATACACTTTTAATTAATATAAAGTAAATTATTTTAAATAGATTTAAAAGAGTAACTGTTGAGTTTCTTGCGGGCTCTTCTCAACAGATAACAACTTTCCGAACCCTGGTGTAGATAAAAAAAAAAAAAAATTAAAAATGCTTGTAAACAAGTATATTTGAATAAAGATGATTTAAACTTGAATGGTGGCAGATACAACTTTTGATTCGCCTAATTTTGTATTTGCGTTATTTATTTTACGGAAATAATCATCAATCATAGGGCTGGCCTGATGTCAAAATGCTGATGAATGAACAGAAGTCCATAGATGCTGACGACACCAGTTAGATAATCTTACAACATATTTATATCGTCATCATATCAGCCTTTATCTGTCCAATGCTGAACATATACCTCTCTTTTAAGGGGTTTTGCTAGCAATTGCCACGTTTGGCAGGCGGATTGGCAACCGCAGTTAAGCTTTAGAGATGTTTTAAGAGGAATGCCCATACTTTGCCCTCCCTTAGTCGCCAGTTACAACACCCACGAGAAAGGAAAGGATTTTTTTATACAACTTAGAATGGCAAACAAGCTGACGGCCCACCTGATGGAAAGTGGTAATCGTCGCTTATAGACATGAGCAGTACCATAGACATAACAGAGTATACTGTTTCGCCCATGATACCCCCCATGCGTTGCCATTCCTGAGGACTCAGGTGTTATTCCTCTGTACCCAGTAAATTCACGCCATATCCCACCCTTCAAACCGAAACACAGCCATGCAAACACAACTGCTTCACGGTTGAAACACGAATGGGACAGAGGTACCCAAGCAATCGACTTTTATGCAAAGTCTCCTTCTGGTATTCCTATTCCTATTCTAGCCATCCCGGCTAGAATAGGAATAGGAATACACGGAACTATATTTACAGTACCTAGTAAATTCACTATTACATTTCACAAAACAAAGCGAAGCAGAAATAGGTGAACTAGAAGTTTGTATTCAGTCTTTCACTAGTATCATTCATCATTTTAGCCATTAACTGTCTACTACTGAACATAAGCCTTTCCCATAAGAGAGTTTTGCCAGTAATTGCCACGCTTGGCAGGTGGGTGGGCAACCGCAGTTAGGCTTACTGAAAGAAGCGCTGCTGCCCATTCCTCTACCATAAAGTCCCTTTAGTCGCCAATTACGACACCCACAGGAAAGGAAGGGGTGGTTTATTCTATGCCGGGACCACACAAAGTATTGTCTTATTATTATATATAATATAATTGGAACCGTACAGCTAAAGATAAACTAAATAATATAAATAAATATATAAAATTCGAGTTCGTACTAACATATCTAAAATACACAAGAATACTTACGTTCAGTACAAAATTCCCCACTCCAGCCGGGTGCGCACGCGCAGGTGCCGTTCGTACACGTGCCACCGTTCATGCAGATACGACGGCAGCCGCCGCGGGTCCGGGCTGCAAATATATAAATACAGTCATGCATTAGCAGTACTTAATAACATTTACAATTGCACTATAAAACTACATACTCCCAGCGACTTTAAGAAGATGCAATGTGAATAGGAGAAAGAAAATGCAATCTAGAGTTGATGTGAATAATTGATTGAGGTTACCTTCTGAAATTAACATTTGTATTTGGGTATAAATCTCTCACTACTTCCTATGTCACTGTGTTAGGTTGACTGGAAGAGATCTCTTTTAGGGGTAAGTTCGCCTTTGCTAACATTGTTATTAACTTATTGTTGTTACTGTATGTTTTAGTGCAATAAAGAATATATAATGATAAATTCGTTAAAAAAAAATTTTATACCACAAATGTGGCAAACAAGCATACAGCCCTTCTGACGGTTAATAGTAACTATAGTTTGCAACACTATAAGTGTAGCGTGCGTGTTGACAGCCCTTAAGAAATTTTAACTGATCCTTCTTGAAGAACCAAGGGAAACCTCGATATTCCACAGCCTGAGCGTTCGTAGGTGGAAACTTTTCTGAAACCGCACTGTACGAGGAAGGTAGGGATTGTTAGTAATGCGGAGTACCAGTCCCAATACTAGCAATATGCCCTGTCCAGTCGACCTCTACGTGGACCCCCTTGAATCGTGTTGAATTCCAAGTGTATTCATCACGGTGGGCTAACTGACCTGCCTTTTCATTCTCACCTATCATCCCTCACTGGAACCCCGCCAGTGTATACCGATAGCGAAGCGAGGTTACCATTCCATTATCGTCCAATAAAAAAAACATATACGATATATTCAGAGGGATAGGATCACCTATTATCTCCTTTAACTAAAGGTTGTCTGTAAGAGATTGCCCTAGCGATAAGACCGCCTTTTGTACCTTTATGTGTATATTTCAATCTGTATTTATGTTACTGTATTTCATTTGAATTATTCACTTGCCATTGTATATTTTTATTTATGGTGCAATAAAGAGTTAAATAAATAAATAAATATTATTCATTTATTTATTTATAGCAAGGCCATTTAATTATACAAATTAATACATTAATAAAATAAATATTACATAAAACAGCATCAAATTTGCACTCCAACAACTGCTCTGCATAACATTCGATATTAGAAACATTAGAAGAATGACGGCTATAGATTTAAAATAACAAATTGGCAGCTTTAATGTAACATTGCATTGCAATGATTATGATCAGATAAACCATATTTTATATGAAGGAGTAGTCAAGAATCTCCGGAACTGGTGTGCATGCATTAAACGTGTTACGAAAATACAGGAAGCCAGAGATATAATAAGGATCTAAGTCTTTGACATTCGAATCACTCTGCCTACCCCGCAAGGAATTTAGCTTAAAGATAGAATGGTAAACTTACGCATATACGGATAGAAGCCTCCGCCGTTAGGGTTACAGCTGGGCGCCTCCACGCCGCCGGGACACCGGCACATGTTCGGCGCTATGCAAGCGCCTGGCGAGCCGCAGTCCGGCCGGCACAGCGCTGAATGGAACATACCATACATTGGTTATACACTCTTTGTATGTCAGTCTTTCCCAAAGTGAGCGATAACGCGTGTGATGGACACTGCAAGTATAAGAGGGGGGGGGGGGGGGGGGGGGGGGGCAGTAAAAGACCCAGAAAAAAAATGGGGGTGTTGTGTAAAAGTTTGGGGGTGATTTGTAATTCGAATAGTGGTTTTTAAGTAGGTGACAAAATGTAGACGCTAAAAATGAATTTATTCTCAAAGTGGGCAATAGACAAAATAAATTTGGGAACCCCTGCTCTATGTACTCATAATTTCAGCCATTAACTATTCACTGCTGAACGTAGACCTCTTGGGGGGCTTTGCCATTAGCTGCGACGCTGGCAGAAGTGCTGGCAACCGTAATCAGGCTTTGGTGACGTTTTTAAATTTTCTTCCCATTCCTCGACCATGAAATTCCCTTAGTCGCCTTTTACGACACCCACTATATATATTTACATAATTATATATCTTTGTCTGTATCAAATTATTATATATAACAGTCGAGAGATTTTATTCAACGTAGAAAACAATTCTATTATACTATTTTTTTATATTTCTTTATTTTAAAAATAACTTTAATTGTAACAAAATAAGTAAATAGACATTATGGATTACAAAATCAATTATCAAAATCGCTATCGGAATCGATTGAATATGATTAAATTCGCCGTTTGTACGTTATTTTTACAATTATAGAAACATTTTTATGTATATGCCCAATGTAGAATAAATATCTAAATATGTCACTCACGAACTACGCATAGTAGCGAGTTGGGTCTGGACGTCCATCCGGGACAGCAATGCGTGCTGTTTCGCGTTCGACACACGTGCGGCCTGCAACAAGCACAAAAACATATTATATTATTTAATTAACACAAAAAAAAAATAACTGTAAAAACAACATCGAGTGTATATTTTTTTACATTTATATTCCGTTCAACTGAGGTGCTTGCTATTTTTTTTATGGAAGATAATGAAATGGTAACCTCGCCTGCGCTAATGGTATACGCTGGCGGGGCAGCAGTGACAGACGATAGGTAAGAATGAAAAGGCATGTCAGTTAGCACATGATGAATACACTTGTACTTCAGATTCAGCCTTCTTAAATTTTTAATAAATATTTTTAATAAAGTGAAAATAGAACGGTAACCCCGCCTGCGCTATCGGTGCATACTGATGGGACAGCAGTAACAGCTGATAGGACCTTATAAAGTATATTTCTAGTAATGTTAGTCCTCATTGCTAACAATCCGTTTTCCCCGGGGGAAAGGGATTGTTAGCAATGAAAACTGAGAATCCCATTGCTAGCAATATACCCAACCAGGTCGACCTCCTCGCGGTTCTCCCTGGAAACTATCATGGTTAATTCCTGGTGAATCCATCATGATGGACTAACTGGCCTGTTTTCATTCTCATCTATCACCCTTCACTGGTGCTCCGCCAGCGTATCCCGTTAGCGCAGGCGGGGTTACCATACCATTTTCACGCATCAAAAAAAATCCCTTTCTCCCAGACTAACGGCAGTAACCTATATTAGTAAAACAATAACCGCTCAGTCAGTCAACAGTTGACTACAACCCGGGTATCCTACGAATATGTTTGAACCCCAGCCTAAATATATGCTAAATATATGTTGCTTTATATTATTCTCAATTTCGTGTATAATATAGTATATGTCATATATGTGTAAGTATATTTGTTATTTATACATATTTATTCGTTTCTATATGTAATTTTAGTATGTATGTATATCAATAATTACTAGTACCGCATTCGAGTATTCTGACACTTCCCTATGGTTGACTGGGAGAGAATGCTTTTAGCATTAAGTCCGCCATGTACACATATATGTATGTACTAATGAATAAATAAATAAATAAATAAAATAAACATCTGAATGGTCGAAACATAAACATAACACAACATACATAAAAATACACATCCGATAATGTTCTTGCAACAAAATATAGTAAAAACTGAATCACTGCCACAGATAAGAATAAGAAAATCTTTAAAAAGGAATATACTCTTTTCTTTGAGGTTACGATATCGTATCGGAAATACTGCTGCTGGAAGTTAATTCCAAAGAGTGGTTGTGCATGGAAGAAAGTGCCTTGTAAATCGAACGGTAGAGAACCACCACTTGTCCAGATGATTGGGATGGAACTTTAGTTTATGGCGGGTTACAAGATGGTGAAATTCAGCAGCGGGTATCAATCCGAACAATTCAGGTATATATCTTATATCAATTTTATGACGTTGTGAAAGTGCCGCTTTTTCTACGGATTAAAATCTATTTGTTGATATTAATAATAATCTATTTTTAAACTAATTAGACGATTTTGTAGATTTACCAGAGGGAAACTGTGTATGAAAGTCGTTTGCTTGTATACCTCTCCCCCATTCGTGTTTCAAACGTAAAGCAGTTGTTTGCATGGCTGTTTTTCGGTTTGAAGGGTGGAATATGGCAATGAATTTACAGGGTACAGAGGAATAACACCTGAGTCCTCCTCCACGCGTGCCCCCTAGAAACCATCGTGATTATTTTTTGATAAATTCATCGCGACGGGCCAACTGGCCCGCTTCGTCCTCACTGGTGTCCCGCCAGCGTATACCGATAGCGCAGGCGGGGTTATCGTCCATTAAAAAAAACTTATACATTATAATATACAACAATTATAATGATACGTTCCCATAGCAACAATGTAAGCATGGATATAATTATAAAAGCAGAAGGGACATGTCTCTAAACACCACTGAAACAATTAATAACAACTGAAAGAATTATTGCCCGCGCATGACGTAATATCTAAAGCGGGTACAAGCGCGAGCTCTCAGCAACCTTGGTTGATCATATACTAAGTTGACCTTTAAAACCGACTTTAAAAAAGATAAAGATTCTCAATTCGATTGTTATACCGAGTTGGCCTTTACAACCGACTTCAAAAAAGTGGGGATTTTAAATTCGGTTGTATTTTTTTGTTTGTTACCTCATAACTGCGTTATTTATAAACCGATTTAGATTTTTTTTTAACTGAAACGATACATCTACTATTTGCTATTGTAATCGTATGGAGGAAACAATAAAGGGTACCTTTTTTTTATGCAACTTAGAATGGCAAACAAGCTGACGGCCCACCTGATGGAAAGTGGTAACCGTCGCCTATAGACATGAGCAGTACCATGGACATAACAAAGTATACTGTTTCGCACATGATACCCCCATGCGTTGCCATTCCCGATCTCATTCACTCATGATTCACTATCTCTCTATCTACCTATTTCAATTTGGTCCTATAGAAATTTTATCAAAACCGTTCTGTAGCTTAAGTTTTTAAATCAAAATGATTGGTTTTGCTACGATTAAAGTAGGTTTTGGTTTTTGTGAAACAAAATGTTAAAATATTTGGTACTCTTCATAAAATTATTCAATCCTTATTTGAATGTAATAATTCAAAGAGCTACTCGAATACTTGAATAATAAACTTGTTCAATACATTTCTGAAGCTCTGTTCTTTATTTATTAATAATAAACGTTCAATCATTTCATAAATCATAAATTTCTCCTTTGGTAATAAAGTAAAAACAAAATCAAAACGGCAAAATAGTAACAAAGAAATCCACAATATACACGCAACTAATATTCAAGTACCGTAAGTACTCGAATACAACTCAAATCGAATCCGATTTTATTTTATAGGAAACTATAATATCCTTAGATTAGAGTCTAATGTGCATTGCTTATGGGATACATCGCACAATGGTGGATATTTGGTTGTTTTGTTTTACAATACAGGGAGCAAACGAGCATACCGCTCACCTGATAGTAAATGACTACCGCCGCCCATGATCACCGACAACACCAACGGCATTGCAGGTGTGCTGCCGGCCTTTTAAAAAAGAACATGCTCTTTTCTTGAAGGTTATGTTGTCGTATCGGTTCGGAAACACTGCTGTTGAAAGTTGATTCCGAAGAGTAAATGTGCGTGGAAGAAAGTGCCTTGAAAAACGCACGGTGGCGGACCGCCACTTGTCCAGATGGTTGGGATGAAATTTTAGTTTATGGCGGATTGTACGATTGATGTTTCTAATTGTTTTATGGTGTTATTAGATTGAATTTATTTTGCTTATTTTTATTAATTTTAAATTATGTATATTGAGCATTCGAGTAGCTAAGTACCTGTCGATTATTCGAGTGGAGTCAGCCCGACTCGATACATCACAAACAGTAACCTTGGCTTGCTCGTAGCAATTGTATCAAGCGGCTAAGTTACTGCGATTTGCAATGCCATTTAAGTAGACTAATTTCTGTATCAGGTCAGGGAGCATCTTCTATCAATACGTCCTTAGACTTTGAAGCTAAACCGTTGTTTTCAGACCTTGTACTAATATCTGTATGCACTATGCAACTGAAATTATGTCATCATACGACATTACGGCTATATAAAATCTGCTGTGTATTAATCATACAGTATATTTCTTATTTTTAATGTTTTAACCAAATAATAAATAAAATTTTAAATAACCGCATCATAATCGGTCTATTCGTTTAGGTGCTACGATACCACAGACACGTCAAACTTATAACACCCAATTTTTTGCGTCAAGCGTTAAAAAAGTAAAGTTTACCAGAGGGAGACTTTGTACAAAAGTCGTTTGCTTGGGCACCTCTGCCCCATTTGTGTTTCAACCATAAAGTAGTTGTGTTTGCATGGCTGTGTTTCAGTTTGAAGGTTAGGGATACAGCGTGAATTTACAGGGTACAGAGAAATAACACCTGAGTCCTCAGGAATGGAAACGCATGACGAAATATCATGGACGAAACAGTATACTCTGTTATGTCCTTGGTACTGCTCATGTCTATAGGCGACGGTTACCACTTTCCATCAGGTGGACCGTCAGCTTGTTTGCCATTCTAAGTTGTATCAATTAAAAGGAATCCTTCAATCAATCATTTATTTGTATAAACAATAGTTATAAATTTGATATATGTTTTACAATTATTATCACATCATCATCATCAGATCAGTCTTTAACTGTTCACTACTGAATATAAGCCTTCCTATTAAGTAAGGGAAGTTTTATCAATAGTATAATAATTTGTAATTAATGTAATAATATAATAATTTGTAATTAATGTAATAATAAATAATTTCTTTTTCATGTAATAATAATTTCTAATTCATGTAATAACAAATAATTTGTAATTGATGTAATAATAAATAATTTGTAATTAATGTAATAATAAATAATTTGTAATTAATGTAATAATAAATAATTTGTAATTAATGTAATAATAAACAATTTGTAATTAATGTAATAATAAATAATTTGTAATTAATGTAATAATAAACAATTTGTAATTAATGTAATAATAAATAATTTGGAATTAATGTAACAATAAATAATTTGGAATTAATGTAATAATAAATAATTTGTAATTAATGTAATAATAAACAATTTGTTATATAAGATACTGCTTTCCTTAGATAAAAAAAAATTAATATTGTAGGCAAGTGAACGAAATAAAACTATCAATGTACAAATGTGTATACTGTGTTTTTTTTTTATAAGAAATTACACACCAAATTTTTTTGTTAATGTTACTGCAATTCGGAGTTCCTTTTTTGAAATATAAAAAAAAAGATTGCATAACTAAGTCTGTTTGAAAAGATTCATTTCCATTTTTTTTATAGATGACAAAGGTTGCCAAGCGTGGCAACTACTGGTAAAATCCCCCTTTATACGGGAGACTAGCAGTATATATTTATACTGGTACTGATATGATGATGATTAAATCCCAAATATCAAGAGCCGTGACATCATACGCGTAG